ATTCCCAGCAACCACATGGTGGCTCCAAACCATCTGTAATGAGATCTGGCGCCCTCCTCTGGCATGTGGGTATACATGGAGGCAGAAAGTTGTATACATAATAAATAAATAAATCTTTAAAAAAAAAAAGAGTGAGGGTGGTGTTGGGGTAGCTGCCTTGTATAGTTGTTCTGCATGAGTAATAGTGGTTTCTGTTTCTGGCTGAACTTTATTTATGGGTATTTATTATTATTGAGATTACTCAGCGTCATTAAATGCTTAGTAGAATGTGCTGTTGTTAGAGGTAATCGGGTGGAATCGGATCATTAGGAAAATACCTGTCACAACTATGGTGCTTGAGTGGAGGAGTGCGGAGACAGGGTTGGTCCTTCTATGGCTGATGGGAGTCACGGGCGGAGTCTGAATTGTGCTGTTTACCTGTGGCTACGATCAGGACTCCTATTAGTGGCAAAATGTTTGGGTTGTCTATTATGAAGATTTGTTATAGTTCTCAGGAGCGGGAATTTAAACAGAATCAGGCTATTGCTAGGATGAACCACATGTCTCTGACGCGGTTATAAAGAAAGGCTTGTAAGGCTGCTGTGTTTGTGTTGGCTCAACCATACCATCAGCCAATTAGTAAGAAGGATATAATACCTACACCTTCTCAGCCAATGAAAAGTTGGAATTGTCTGAAGTAAGAATAATTATATTAATAAGAAATAGAAGTATTTGATAAATCGATTTAGGGGTGGGTCTGAGTATATATATCATGTGGTGACAAAAAGGGCTACTGGCAGGAAAATAATTGAGAAGTCAATTTTGAAGCTTCGTGATAATTTTATAGTGCCAATAGTAATTTAATATCAGTTGGTGATTAGCAACTCTGCATTGACCTTGTGTGGCCCAGGGTGGCCTTGAACTCAGAGATCCATCTGCCTCTGTCTCCCAAATCTTGGAATCAAAGGTGTGTGACACCACTGCCTGGCCTCTGATGGCTTGCTTTGCCTTCTGATTTTCAGGTAAGCTTTATTTATTTATTTATTTTTTATTTATTTATTTATTTTGGTTTTTCGAGACAGGGTTTCTCTGTGGCTTTGGATAAGCTTTATTTATTAAACCATAAATAAAATATTACAGGTATTTAGGGTAAATAAACCTTGTATATAAGCTGAAAAAGGGACTCTGGCTCTGGATCCCTTCCTGTTGCAAGGAGTCTGTCTTCTCCCTTACATATACTTTGAATAAAAATTAGCTTTGCAAAGACCTCAGGAGGGAGGCAGGGAGAAGAGATATGTTGTAAATTAGGGGCGGCGGGGCTGCCTCCCCGGCACCCCGGCCGCCTGCTCGGCTAGCTTATGCCCCGAAATAATTACACGGACACTGTATTCTTTTTTTTTTAATAGTTTATTTATTTTTTTATTTATTTAACTTTATTATGTTTGTCGGTGTGAAGGTGTCAGATCTCATGGAACTGCATTTTCAGACAGTTGTGAGCTGCCATGTGGGTGCTGGGAATCGAACCCGGGTCCTCTGGAAGAGCAGTCAGTGCTCTTAACTGCTGGGCCATCTCTCCAGCCCCGACACTGTATTCTTTTAAACACTGCTTGGCCCTTTAGCTCTAGCCCTTACTGGCTAATTCTGTTATCCCGATCAACCCATCTCTAATAATCGGTGAGCCCCGGTCTTACCGGGAAAGGTTCAGCATGTCTAACCTGGCGGCTTGCTTCATGGCGTGTGTCTGCCCGGGAGCGGGGCATGGCGTCTCAGGCGTCTGCTCCCGAGAAGAGAGATGTGGAGTCTGACCTCACTTCCTCTTCCTCCCAGCGTTCTGTTCTGTTTACTCCTCCCACCTATCCTCTAACCAATAAAATGGGCCAAGGCAGTTCCTTTATTAGCCAATGACCTTCCTCCATCAGAGATAGCTGAGTGATGGCCTTGAACTTCAGCATTTGGGAGGGGGAGACAAAAGGATTTTTGCTGAGTTCCAGTACAGCCTGGTCTACACAACACATTCCAGGTTATCCAGGGTACACAGACCAAGACCCTGACTCAGAAACAAAATTATAAAACAGGCAGAAATTATTGTGTAATGATTATGTGGAGTATAATTCACAACATATTACCATGAAAGACCCCTGTGCTGGGCAGCCTTTCAGTCTGGGGAGACCCTCCCAAGGAACAGCGAGACCACTCCTCGGATGCAAACAGCAAGAGGCTTTATTCAGATACACAGGAACCTGGGGCGTACAAGTCTCTCGAAGGACTGGTGCGCCCTTAGCCTGGAGAAGTAGGCTTTTATAGGTCTGGGGAGCAGAAAGCGTGGCTACAGAAGCGAGATGCATAGTTACAAGGGTCTGATTGGACAATCTAAATGAGGCCAGGTTCAACCTGAGGACGGTTTCGGGTTTTTCCAAGTAATCAGATAAAACCAGCTGACTGGGCTCTATCTGGGGTACAAACCGCCTCTTTCTTGCTTAGTTCCTCATAACAGGGGCCAGGTGGCCAACCACAGACATCCTGTTCCCTGTCTGGCCCTCCACCCTTGCCCTAGAGACTGAACTTCCTTGTCCTAGTTTTGCCCTAGTTTAACTTTATAAAGTTTCTTTTTTTTAAAAATATTTTTTATTATTATGTATACAATATTCTGTCTGTGTTTATGACTGCAGACCAGAAGAGGGCACCAGACCTCATTACAGATGGTTGTGAGCCACCATGTGGTTGCTGGGAATTGAACTCAGGATCTTTGGAAGAGCAAGCAATGCTCTTAACCTCTGAGCCATCTCTCCAGCCCTAACTTTATAAAGTTTAAGCCTTGCAAAATGGCGTTACTGCTGCTTAGCTCTTATCCATAACGGCCGGGGTCTTTCATTCCCCCCTTTTTCTATAACATGAATAAAACCTTTTATTCAATCTGCGGTGGTTTCAGTAATCTCTGGATCCAACTGCCTAAGTTGATGGTACTGCTGTGTCAGCACTAAGTCCTGGATGACAGACAACCTGTCTTTCATGAACTGCACCAGCCGGTTGAGGATGCATGGCCCAAAAAGCAAAATCAATAGTATTATGATTAGGGGTCCCATGATGGTGGATACCAGAGTAGTGAACCATGGGGATCTGTTGAACCATCCTTCAAACCAGCCCTGTTCGGATTCAAAGAGCTGCTGTCTCTGTTTAAGTCTTTCTCTTAGCCTTGCCATGTTGTCCCTCACCAATCCAGTGTGGTCTGCATAAAAACAACATTCCTCTTTTAAAGCTGCACATAACTCCCCCTCTTGTAGAAATAATATGTCTAATCCCCGTCTATTTTGCAGGACCACCTCAGACAGCGAAGTTAAGGACTTTTCTAATGCACTGACGGATTCCTCCAAGGCTTTTATGTCAGTGTGCATGGCCGCCTGTAGCTGCTTAAACTGCTGGGTGGCTGCAAGGGCCGTTGCGCCGGTTCCCACCCCTGCCGTGATGCCTCCAACAGTCAATCCCCCAAGTAGGAGGGCTAGGGTAAGAGACACTGGTTCTCTCCTGAATCTAGGTCTTCCTTCAAATTGGGTGTAAACATATTCAGGCTCGTGATATGTTACTTTTGGCCACAGCTCAATCAACACGCAATAATCCGAAGACATGTTTAGGATAAGGGAAGACACACAAGGGGTTAGGCCCGTGCTACAGGCCCAATAAGTGCCACTGGGGGGTATTAGGTAATAAGTGCCCTGAGGCAGGGTCTGTGTGGTGTGGCAGAGAAGTGAATGTGAGGGCGGGACTTTTCCTATGCAAAGGCCTTTCCCTGACACCTCCGATAGCGTCAGCTTGTGTTGGGGTGTATCGGAGCATTGGGCTGGTGGGGAGGTCTGATTGGTATAACTCCCCATAAGTGCCACCCCTTCATAGTATGGGGGTCTAGACAGCAAGCAGAGCCAGCATTCCTGGGTTCTATTAGGATTAGTCACATTTAGGGCTAGGTATGCCCCTTGTATCAGATCAAGCAACCTGTCCCCCGTTCCAGGTGTTTGGGTTGGGTGTGTAGGCATCGTAGGTGCCTGGGCTAAAGTTGGGATTGTCGCATTTGAGCTTTCTGCTGACATTGCCGGAGCTGCCGGGGCTGTTGGAGCCACCGGAAGCGTTGGGGGCCTCTGATCCCCTATGACTGGGTTAGGCCCCACCGCCTTGCTGGCGGTTTCTACCTTGAGTTTTATAGTGAAGACAATTCCCTTGTTCCCCCCTCTTAGGTACCATCTTAGGCCCCATTTGTAACCAGCCTGCCACCCATCAGCTCGTTTTCCCAGTTCAGTAAATGATATATTAAGGGGTAAGCATGTAGCATTGTTGCACTTGAAATTGCCCCATCCGGTCTTGGAATCCTCTTCACATTCTGCCTTATAATTATTTGGCCACCAGCCGGGTGGGGGCTTACTCCATCCTCGCTGGACAGTAATCTTATCCCAGCTAGAGGAGGGTTTCCAGTAAGCGTCTCCCGTGGTTTCACATCCCCAAGCTTTGCAGAATAGGCTCTCATATCCCCCACATTTGTAGGCCAGGCTGGAAGACCTCCCATCCCTGGGGCAAACATAGAAGTCCGCCCCGGCCAGAATACATCTCCTCCTGGGAGAAGAGCAACCTTCTACGCCTTCCCCCCCTGAGGTGGGTTCCATGGTTCTGGTTAACTGGTTTGGAAGCTTGTCTGCAACATCCCAAGTATCCGACCCGGCAGCCAATTGGCAAAAATCAGGCATGAGGGTTGGCCACCAAGTATTGAGGGCGTGGTTGGCCTTGGTTTCCCATGCTATTTCCCCCGTGGGGGTCAGAACCTGCCAGGTCAGGGTGTGTACCTGGTGCGGGTTGACGGATGACCCCCCTTGCGTCCCCAGGATAGCTATTAGGAAGAAGAGCGAACAAGTCTTATCTTTAGAGGGTTTTGGGAGCGTTGGGCCCTCCATGGCGGCTCGGTTGCACCTTCGTCGGCGCGACTGGCTGCTTTGACGTGTGAGGCGAGATGCCGTCAACCTTTAATGCTGTCGGGGTGGTCAGCAGCACGGTGTAGGGTCCTTTCCAGCGGGGTTCCAAATTCTTAGTCTGGTGTCTGCGGACCCACACTGTATCACCAATCTGGTAACTATGAGGCACCACTGGTCTGTCCAATTGCTCCCGGTAAGCCGCGGGAAGGGGCTTCCAGACCTCTCGCTGCACGATCTGGAGTGCCTGCAAATGAGCTTCCAGAGAGGGACTGTTAGCAAAGTCTGAAATGTTAGAATCAAAGAAGTTGACGAGGGGCGGGGGCGCCCCATACAGTATCTCAAAAGGGGTAAGTCCATGGGGTCCTGGAGTATTCCTGGCCCTATAAAGAGCCAAAGGCAGTAGGAGTACCCAGTCCCTAGAGCCAGTTGCAAGCGTTAATTTGGTTAAGGTCTCCTTTAATGTCCTGTTCATTCTCTCTACCTGACCTGAGCTTTGGGGTCTGTACGCGCAATGTAATTTCCAATTAATCCCCAATAACTTGGCCACCAACTGACTTACCTGGGAGACGAAAGCGGGCCTGTTGTCCGAGCCTAGGGCGTGCGGCATACCATATCTAGGAAAGATTTCCTCCAGTAGCTTCTTAGTCACAATCTTTGCCGTTTCATGTTTAGTTGGGAAGGCTTCCACCCATCCCGAAAAAGTGTCCACAAATACCAATAAATACCGGTATCCGTACATCCCTGGCTTTATCTCCGTAAAATCAATTTCCCAATGCACCCCTGGCCGATGCCCTCGGACCCGTATCCCCAGTCCTATCTTGGTTTTGCCTGCATTTACTTGCGCGCAGGCTTTGCATTTGTCCATGACTTCCTGGAGAATGCTGTCCCGCCCCAGCAGATAGCGAAAACCTTCCTCTCGGTCTAATAAGGTTTTCATTTTTCGGGGGCTGAGGTGGGTCAGTTTATGCAGGTAGTCAAGCATGTCATAAGTGTATGACATCGGCGCCACGGTTTTTCCCTTCCAGATCCAATTGCCAGTTGCCTGATCTTGTTCTGCCCCCATGTCTGCCAAGAGTTCTAAATCCTTTTTGCTATATTGGAAGGGGTCCTTTTTATTTTGGTTTATTGGCAGTATGGTTAGGAGTTTGTAGGGCCGCTTGTTTGGCGGCTTCATCCGCTAGCCGATTTCCCCGAGCTTCCGGACTATCCCCTTTCTGGTGCCCTGGGCAATGCATAATGCTCAGTCTTTTTGGCAGGAACAGGGCTTTCAGCAGAGACAAGATTTCGGCCTTATTTTTGATTTCCTTTCCCTCTGAGGTTAGCAGCCCTCTCCTCCGGTATATTTCCCCATGGACATGAGCGGTGGCGAAAGCATATCGGCTATCAGTATAAACATTGAGCTTCTTACCTTCTGCCATACTCAGGGCTTGAGTCAAGGCGGTAAGTTCCGCCCGCTGGGCCGAGGTCCCCGCTGGTAAAGGCTGAGCCAAGATTACCTCCGACTCGGTGGTAACTGCAGCGCCTGCTTTCCGCTCACCTTCCCTTAGGAAGCTGCTGCCGTCTGTGTACCAGGTGACGTCCGCGTCCCGGAGGGGTTGATCCGTCAGGTCCGATCGGGTCCCGTGCATTTCCGCAAGGATCTCGAGGCAATCATGGTCGTCCGCCTCCCCCTTCTCTGGGAGTGGCAGCAGGGTCGCAGGGTTGAGTGCCACCGTCGGCCCAAAATGGATTCGGTCCAAGTCCAGTAACAGGGCCTGGTAATGGGTCATGCGGGCATTGGAGAGCCAGCGGTCTGGGGGCTGTTTGATCAGGGCCTCAATGGCATGCGGGGCCAGAATGGTCAATGGTTGGCCCATGGTCAATTTTCCAGCGTCCTTGGCGAGGACCGCTATTGCAGCTATCATTCTGAGGCATGGGGGCCATCCTGCAGCTACTGGGTCCAATTTCTTGGACAGGTAGGTAATTGGTCGTCGCCATGGTCCCAGCCTCTGTGTTAAGACCCCTTTTGCGTAACCCTGTTTCTCATCGACAAACAGGTCAAAGGGCTTGGTCAGATCAGGAAGTCCTAAGCCTGGGGCCGTGAGCAGGGCTGCTTTGATTCTTTTAAAGGCTTTTTCCTGGTCCGGTCCCCATGTATATAGTATCCCTTGTTTAGTCGGAGGAAATAAGGGGGCTGCCATTTCCGCGAACCCTGGGATCCAGAGACGGCAGAACCCTGCTGTCCCTAGGAACTCCCTCAGCTGACGGGGGGTTCGGGGTGTTGGGATCTGCATGACTGTTTTCTTTCTAGCCTTTGTTAGCCATCTCTGTCCTTCTTTAATCTGATACCCCAGATAGGTAACTTGTTGTTGACATATTTGGGCCTTTTTAGCGGAGGCCCGATAGCCCAAATCTCCTATGGCTTGTAACAATGCCTTTGTCCCCCTTCTACAGTCCTGCTCCGAGGTGGCGGCTAACAGGAGATCATCAACATATTGTAGCAGTATCAAGTCAGGGTACCTTACCCTCAAGTCGGCGAGGTCCCGATGCAGGGCCTCGTCAAATAATGTGGGGCTGTTCTTGAAGCCCTGAGGCAACCTGGTCCATGTTAATTGTCCTGAGATTCCCATCTCGGGGTCTCTCCATTCAAAGGCAAATAGAGGTTGGCTTTTGTGGTGCAGTCTTAGACAAAAGAAGGCATCTTTTAGGTCCAAAACAGTATACCATGTATGCAAGGGCGACAGTCCGCTTAACAGATTGTAGGGGTTGGGGACCGTTGGGTGTATATCTTCCACCCGCTTGTTGACTTCCCTCAGGTCTTGTACAGGCCTATAATCTCCGGTCCCTGGTTTCTTCACAGGTAACAAGGGGGTGTTCCAGGGGGATCGGCAGGGAATTAGTATTCCTTGGTCAAGGAGCCTTTTGATGTGGGGTCTTATCCCTGCCTTTGCCTCATGGGACATGGGATATTGTTTAATCGAGATAGGAGTGGCGGTTGTTTTGAGACTCACTATCAACGGAGGCTGTTGCCTAGCCATCCCCATTCCCCCCGTCTCTGCCCACGCCTGGGGAAAGTGGTTCAGCCAATAGGCCTCAGTTGGGGCCCCAGTGACATTGTCGTCCTCATGCAGTTTATATTCATCCTCCAGACTGAGAGTTAGTACATGCAAAGGCTGCCCTTGAGGACCCATTACCTGGGCACCTGTTTCCTTGGAGAAAATTTGAGCTCTTAATTTTGTGAGTAAGTCTCTTCCTAGGAGGGGGTATGGGCAATCGGGCACATGGAGGAAAGAGTGCGTCACCTTACCGGTTGCCAGGTTAACATTACGATCCATAGTCCATCGGTATCGTTTTCCACTAGTGGCCCCCTGGACCCAAGCTGACTTGTCACTCAGGGGTCCGGGGTTTCTAGTCAACACCGAGTGCTGGGCTCCTGTATCGACTAGGAAGGTGACTGGTTGCCCCCCAATATCTAAAGTTATCCTGGGCTCGGGGGGGGGGGCTCCTGGCCCTGACCCCCTAATCATCCAGGGCGAGGAGGGAAGTTTGAGGGGGGTCTCGGCTTTCTTGATCCTTTGGGCTTCTTTGGGCAATCTCTAGCCCAATGTCCTCTTTCTTTGCAATAGGCACATTGGTCTTTGTCCAGAGGTGGGCCCCTTCTGTTTCCCCCCTGTCTATCCTGTCTCTGTCCTGAAACTACGGTGGCCAAGAGTTTACTCATTTCTTTGTGTCTTTTGCGGTCCCTTTCCTTTTCTCGTTCTTCAGCTTCCTTTCTAAGTCGTTTCTCTCGTTCCTCTGCCTCCTTTCTAAGGCAGTCCTCTCTTTCTTCCTGGGTCTCTCTCTTATTGAAAATTTTCTCTGCTTCTTTTACCAGATCCCTGAGTGAGCTCTCTCTGAGGTCCTCCAAGCGCTCCAGCTTGCGTCTAATGTCTGGAGCAGACTGCCAAATGAATGACATGGAGACATTGGTCTCCTGCCCAGGGTCCTCAGGGTCATATGGGGTATATATGCGATAAGCTTCCTTTAGACGTTCGAGGAAGGCAGAGGGTGTTTCCTCTGGTCCCTGTCTGACTTGTTTTACCTGAGCCAAATTGGTCGGGCGCCGTGCAGCCCGATGGAGACCCGCTACGAGCAACTGGCAATAGAGAACTAGGTGGTTCCTACCTTCGACCGTGGTGAAATCCCAGTTAGGGCGTTCCAAGGGAAAAGCTGCGTTTATCTCGTTGGGTAGCTGGGTGGAGCGACTATCGGGTCCCCGAACCTCCTTCCGTGCCTCCAAAAGGACCCGTTGTCGCTCTTCTGAAGTCAACAGGGTCTGTAAAAGCTGCTGACAATCATCCTGAAAGACCCCAGTGGTGGGCAGTCTTTCAGGCTGAGGAGACCCTCCCAAGGAACAGCGAGTCACTCTTCGGATGCAAATAGCAAGAGGCTTTATTCAGTACACAGGCACCTGGGGCGACTTAGTCTCTCGGAAGACAAGCGCGCCTGCAGACTGGGGGAAGGTCTTTTTATAGGAAAGAGGGCAGCAGAAGCAGATTACAGAAGCAAATGCATCGTTAGTGGTCAGTTGGAATGGGGCAAGGGGCACAGGTGGTTTTTCCTCTCCCAGCACAGATGTATGGGAACAGATATCCTGTTAATTGATGTCCTGTCCTAATCTATGGATATAAAGATCCTGTTTTGCAGCCAGGGACCCTGACCTTACTCTGCACTTACAGTCGTTCGTCAAAAGCTTTGTGAAATGACGTTACAGCAGATAAGCTGGGATCTTTCATAGGGGGAGTTGTCTCTTCTGTGAATTACTGATATTCTAAGTTGGGCACATGTGCTGACTATAGGCATCCCGTTTCCCTAAGCAAACGGGATGTTCTCATTAGAGCAGGCCAGCTGCGGGTTCCTTATCGCTTGGGGCCAGATGGCTGACCGGCTGACCGCAGATATCTTGCCTGGCTTCTCCGCCCTTGTTTTCAAGTCGAACTTCCCTGCTCTAATTACTTGCGTTGCTCCAAAGTTTAAGCCTTGCAAAATGGCGTTACTGCTGCTTAGTGAGTGGGGGTCTTTCATTCCCCCCTTTTTCTATATCCTGAATAAAACCCTTTATTCACTCAGCTGCGGTATCCCTATTCTCGGGATCAAATTGTCTAAGTTGGTGGTACTGTTGTGTCAGGACCAAAGCCTGGATGACAGACAGCCTGTCCTTCATAAATTGTACTAGCCGGTTGAGAATGCATGGTCCGAAAAGCAGAATCAATAGTAGTATGATTAGGGGTCCCATAATGGAGGAAATCAGGGTGGTGAACCAGGGCGATCTGTTGAACAGTCCCTCAAACCAGCCTTGGTCAGATTCAAAGAGCTACTGTCTCTGCTTAAGTCTTTCCCTCAGCTTTGCCTTGTTGTCTCTGACTAATCCTGTGTGGTCTGCATAAAAGCAGCATTCTTCCTTTAGGGCTGCACAAAGTCCTCCTTCCTGCAGGAACAATATGTCTAGTCCCCGCCTGTTTTGTAGGACTACCTCAGACAGTGAGGTTAAGGACTTTTCCAATGCACTGACCGATTCCTCCAAGGCTTTTATGTCAGTGTGCATGGCTGCCTGTAGCTGCCTAAACTGCTGGGTGGCGGCAAGGGCTGTTGCTCCGGTCCCTATCCCTGCCGTGATGCCTCCAACAGTCAATCCCCCAAGCAGGAGGGCTAGGGTGAGGGACACTGGCTCTCTCCTGAATCTAGGTCTTCCTTCAAACTGAGCATACACATATTCTGGTTCATGGTAAGTTATTTTTGGCCATAACTCAATTAACACGCAATAATCAGAGGATATGTTTAAGACTGAGGAAGACACACAGGGGGTCAGTCCCGTGCTACAGGCCCAGTAAGTGCCATTGGGAGGTGTTAGGTAATAAGTGCCCTGAGGCAGGGCTAGTGTGGTGTTGCAGAGAAGTGAATGTGAGGGTGGGACTTTTCCTATACAAAGGCCCTCTCCTGACACCTCCGATAGCGTCAGCTTGTGCCGTGGTATATCGGAGCATTGGGCTGGTGGGGAGGTCTGATTGGTAAAATTCCCCATGAGTGCCAACCCTTCATAATAGGGGGGCCTAGGTAGTAGGCAGAGCCAGCATTCTTGAGTCCGGTTAGGGTTAGTCAGGTTTAAGGCTTGATATGCCCCCTGTATAAGGCCGACCAACCTGTCCCCAGTTCCGGATACCGCCGGAGTGGGTACTGACGGGGACGAGTCCTCCGCTGAAGAAGTTGAGAAGGGTGCCTGGGTGGCGTTTCCTGAGGGGGGTTGGGCTGGCGCTGGGGGAGGTTTGGGAGGGGATGGAGCCTGTTGGTCGCCCAGGACTGAGTTGGGGCCCAGGGACGAGGATGGAGAATCTGGGGTGAAGCCATAAGTGAGAGTGATTATAGCTCCATGATCTGGACCGGTGGGGTCGTATCGCCGGATCCCCCATGATCCTGTTAGGGCAGGGGCCTGATCCTTACATTTTGAAAAGGTCAGGCGAATGTTTGGGCCGGAGGGGTAAGGGGTCTTATCCCAGTATTCTATGTGTAGGGGATCATTTCCCTGGGGGGTTCCCCAAGAGCTAGCCAGGGATCCCCAGGAGGAGGTTTCGCAGCCCCAAGTGTTACAATAATATTGGTTAGCCGTGCTATGTGAGCATCGTTTATGGCTCCGGGTCCCCGGACAGGCATACCAATCAGCATTGTTACCGGGAACCGGTCCTCCCACTGCCTGGAACAAGGTGACTAGATTGGCTTTCATTTCGGGTGGGCATCCTAGATTCTTGGGTCCCTTCATGGTTGTGACATTGAGGACCACATCTGTACCAGCTACTATGAGGGTCCAGGTGCTCTTCCCCACAATGTGGGGCGAGACTGAGTGTCCTCCCAGGGCGCGAGGGGGGGTTATAAGCATCACCAAGACTAGGTACGGGAAAGTCTTATCTTTAGAGGGTTTTGTGTGCGGTGGACCCTCCATGATGCCCCGGTTGTGGTTTCGTCAGGAGGGCTGGCTGCTTTGACGTGCGACGCGTGGACCCAGGCTGCGATGCCGTCAACTTTCAGCGCGGTCGGGGTGGTCAGTAGCACGGTATAGGGTCCCTTCCAGCGGGGTTCCAGATTCTTAACCTGATGCCTGCGGACCCACACGGTGTCGCCAATCTGGTAGTTATGGGGCACCACTGGTCTGTCCAATTGCTCCTGGTAGGCTGCAGCAAGTGGTTTCCAGACCTCACGTTGCACGATTTGGAGTGCCTGCAAATGAGCTTGCAGAGAAGGACTATTAGCAAAGTCTGAAATATTGGAATCAAAGAAATTAATGAAGGGCGGGGGCGCCCCGTATAGTATTTCAAAGGGAGTGAGTCCATGGGGTCCTGGAGTGTTTCTGGCCCTGTATAGAGCCAAGGGTAGTAGGAGTACCCAGTCTCTAGAGCCAGTTGCAAGCGTTAATTTGGTCAAAGTCTCCTTAATAGTTCTATTCATTCTTTCTACCTGTCCTGAACTCTGGGGTCTGTATGCACAGTGTAATTTCCAATCAATCCCCAATAGCTTGGCCACCAACTGACTTACTTGGGAGACGAAGGCAGGTCCATTATCAGTGCCCAGCACTTGGGGCATGCCATACCTGGGGAAGATTTCTTCCAGTAGCTTTTTGGTCACAATTTTTGCGGTCTCATGCTTGATCGGGAAGGCTTCTACCCATCCCGAAAAGGTGTCCATAAATACCAATAAGTACCGGTATCCATACATGCCTGGTTTTATTTCAGTAAAGTCAATTTCCCATTGTACTCCTGGTCGATGTCCGCGGATTCGCACCCCCTGCCCCACCTTGGTTTTTCCTGCATTTACCTGTGCACATGCTCTACATTTGTCCATAACTTTTTGGAGGATGCTGTCTCGCCCCAGTAAATAGCAAAAAGTTTCCTGCCGATCTAACAAGGTTTTCATCTTTCGGGGGCTTAGATGGGTCAATTTATGTAAGTAATCAAGCATCTTATAAGTGTATGCCATCGGCATCACTGTTTTTCCCTTCCATGTCCATTCGCCCGTTTTCTGGTCCTGCTCCGCTCCCATGTCTGCCAGGAGCTTTAGATCCTCCTCATCATATTTGAGGGGGTCTCTCTTATCTTGGTGCATGGGCAGTATGGCTAGCGGAGCCTGCAGGGCCACCTGTTTAGCGGCTTCATCAGCCAGCCGGTTTCCTCGAGCCTCAGGGCTGTCTCCTTTCTGGTGTCCTGGGCAATGTATAATGCTCAGTTTTCGAGGCAGAAATAAAGCTTTTAACAAGGCTAAGATCTCTGTTTTATTTTTAATTTCCTTTCCTTCTGAAGTCAGTAGCCCTCTTCTTCTGTATATTTCCCCATGAACATGAGCAGTGGCAAAAGCATATCGGCTGTCAGTGTAGACATTGAGCTTCTTACCTTCTGCCATCCTCAAAGCTTGTGTCAAGGCGACAAGCTCTGCTCGCTGCGCAGAAGTCCCTGCAGGCAGAGGCTGTGCCCAGATCACTTCGGTCTCCGTGGTTACCGCTGCACCCGCCTTTCGCTCACCTTCCCGCAGAAAGCTGCTGCCGTCAGTGTACCAGGTGACATCCGCATCCCGGAGGGGTTGATCCGTCAGGTCCGGTCTGGTCCCGTGCATTTCCGCCAGGATCTTGAGACAGTCGTGTTGGTCCGTCTCCCCCTCCTCTGGGAGTGGTAGCAGGGTTGCAGGATTGAGCGCCACCACTGGTCCAAAATGGATTCGGTCCGAGTCCAGGAGCATGGCCTGATAATGGGTCATGCGGGCATTGGAGAGCCAGCGATCTGGGGGTTGTCTGATTAGAGTCTCAATTGCGTGTGGGGCCAGGATGGTCAAAGGTTGGCCCATAGTCAGTTTGCCAGCGTCCTTGGTGAGGACTGCCACTGCTGCTACCATTCTGAGGCATGGGGGCCATCCTGTGGCCACGGGGTCCAACTTCTTGGATAGGTAGGCTATTGGCCGCCGCCAGGGCCCCAGCCTCTGGGTCAAGACCCCTTTTGCATATCCTTGCTTCTCGTCAACAAACAAATCAAAAGGCTTAGTCAGGTCAGGGAGGCCTAAGGCTGGGGCTGTAAGCAGAGCCCGTTTGATTTTCTGAAAAGCCTCGTCCTGATCCGATCCCCTTGAGTACATCACCCCCTGCTTCGTCAGTGGGTACAAGGGGGCTGCCAGTTCCGCGAATCCGGGGATCCAGAGCCGGCAGAATCCCGCTGTCCCTAGAAATTCTCTCAGCTGGCGGGGTGTCCGAGGGGTAGGGATTTTTATAACTGTGTCTTTCCTGGCCTCCGTTAGCCATCTCTGTCCTTCTCTGATTTGGTACCCTAAGTAGGTGACCTGCCGTTGACATATTTGGGCCTTTTTGGCAGAAGCTCGGTACCCTAGATCCCCCAAGGCTTGTAGTAATGCCTCAGTTCCTTTTATACAGTCCTGAGCCGAAGTAGCAGCTAACAAGAGATCATCAACATACTGTAACAGCATCAGGCCAGGATGCCTCACCCTGAAATCCGCTGAGTCTCGGTGTAGGGCCTCATCGAACAGGGTGGGGCTATTTCTGAAACCCTGAGGCAACCTGGTCCAGGTCAGCTGTCCTGAAATCCCCAGCCTAGGGTCCTTCCATTCAAAGGCAAATATGGGCTGACTTCTGGGGTGCAGTCTCAGACAGAAGAATGCATCCTTAAGGTCCAGGACGGTATACCAAGTATATGAGGGTGATAGTCCAATTAACAGATTGTAGGGGTTAGGAACTGTCGGGTGTATGTCTTCCACCCGTTTATTGACCTCTCTTAGATCTTGCACAGGTCTATAGTCCCCAGTCCCTGGCTTTTTTTACGGGCAGCAAGGGGGTATTCCAAGGGGACCGGCAGGGGACTAATATTCCCTGGTCAAGAAGCCTTTTGATGTGAGGCCTTATTCCTTCCCTTGCCTCGTGAGACATGGGATACTGTTTAATCGAGACAGGAGTAGCAGTTGTCTTGAGGCTTACCACTAGAGGGGGCTGCTGTCTGGCCAGCCCCATTCCCCCGGTTTCTGCCCATGCCTGGGGAAAGCGATCCAGCCAATAAGCCTCAGTGGGGGCCGCAGTGGTACTGTCTTTTTCATGCAGCCTATATTCATCCTCTAGGCTGAGAGTCAGCACATGTAAGGGTTGTCCCTGAAGGCCAACTACCTGTGCTCCGGTTTCTTTGAAGTAAATTTGGGCTTTTAATTTTGTGAGCAAGTCCCTTCCTAGGAGCGGATATGGACAGTCAGGCACGTGGAGGAAAGAATGAGTCACCTTACCGGTTGCTAAGTGAACCTTGCGATCTGTGGTCCATCGGTATCGTTTTCCACCAGTGGCTCCTTGGACCCAGGCAGATTTGTCACTCAGGGGTCCCGGGTCCCGGGTTAACACCGAATGTTGAGCGCCTGTATCGACTAGGAAGGTGACCGGTTGCCCCCCAACTTCTAGGGTTATCCTGGGCTCAGGGGGGGGCTCCTGACCCCGACCCCCCTAGTCATCAAGAGTTAGGAGGGAGGCACGGCATGGTCCAGGTCTTTTAAATCCGTCCGGTTTCTTAGGGCAATCTCTTGCCCAGTGTCCCTTCTCTTTGCAATAGGCACATTGATCCTTGTCAAGAGGGGGCCTCCTTCTGTCTCCTCCCTGTCTATCCTGCCTCTGTCCCGACACTACAGTGGCCAAGAGTTTACTCATTTCCCTGTGTCTCTTACGGTCTCTCTCCTTTTCCTTTTCTTCAGACTCCTTCCTAAAACGATCCTCTCGTTCCTCGGCTTCTCTTCGGAGGCGATCTTCCCTCTCTTCCTGAGTCTCCCTCTTATTAAAAATCTTCTCTGCCTCTTTTAACAGATCCCTGAGTGAGCTTTCCCTGAGGTTCTCTAGACGCTCCAATTTGCGTCTGATATCTGGAGCTGACTGCCAAATAAAAGACATGGAGATATTGGTCTCCTGTCCGGGGTCATCAGGGTCATAGGGAGTATATCTGCGGTAAGCCTCTTTGAGCCTCTCAAGGAACGCAGAGGGAGTTTCCTCTGACCCCTGGATAACCTGCTTTACCTGAGCCAAATTCGTTGGGCGTCGAGCCGCCCTGTGGAGACCCGCTATGAGCAACTGGCGATAAGAGGGCTAGGTGATTCCTACCTTCCATCGTGGTGAAATCCCAAGAGGGGCGTTCAAGTGGAAAGGCAGAATCTATTTCATTAGGCAATTGGGTGGGGCGGCCATCAGGTCCCCGGACTTCCTTCCGGGCCTCCAGGAGGACTCTCTGCCGTTCCTCCGAGGTCAGCAAAGCCTGCAGCAGCTGTTGGCAGTCGTCCCATGTAGGCTGATGGGTAATCAAAATGGATTCAATTAAAGCTGTCAACCTAGAGGGGTCCTCGGAAAAAGAAGGATTGTTATTTTTCCAGTTATACAGATCTGAGGCAGAGAACGGCCAGTATTGGAGTTGGCCGTTCATTCCTGTGCGAAGAGGGAATGCCTGGGAGGAGGTCGTATCCGCCGCAGGAGGAGGTTGATCCCTCCGTCCCCTTAGGCGTGCAGCCATCGGAGAAGGACCGGTAGAGGCAGCAGAGACTGGCGCCGCGTGCTCCTCTCTTCTTTCGGTTGAGTCAGCCTCATCTGGAGGTCGCAGAGCTGGCTCCTGATATGGGGGAGGGCCCTCCGTAAGGAGGTCCATCAGGAGGTCATCATCTGGGGGTAAGACTTTTGGGGGAGGGGGCTTGGGCATCGGGGACTTGGTGAGGGTTGGATACAGGGAGGAGTGGGATGGGGGTCCCGCTGGAGTGGGAAGGAGTGGAGGGGGCAAAGTAGGTGCAGAGGGAGTAAGGGCAGGGGGTTTTGGTGTAATAAAAGGTTTGACCCAGGGTGGCGGGTCATAAGCCATCGCTTCCCAGGTCACGATATATGCAGTCTGATCTGGGTGCCCGTGAGGGCCAGGATCCATCACCTTAGCTTTTACCTGCAGGATGACATTAATGTCAAAAGTACCATCCCTAGGCCAACCCACATTGAACGTTGGCCATTCTGAGGAACAAAAAGTTACCCAGCGTCTCTTCCGGACGTCCACTGACTGGTTGTTTGCAATGTCTTGGACGTCTCGCCAGTGCTGTAAAGTTAGGCTTAAAGGGGTGGTTATAGATTGGCCCATTCTCTCAACCGCGGTGACAGTAACAATCAGACAAACAACCAAAACACAACTTAGACCGACACAAAAGCACGCAGCGCGGCTTCGGCGTAATACCGAAAGCAAAACTTCAGACGGAGACTCTGAGGACCCGGATTCCTCGTCTCCCAGAAGAATCACGTACCCTTCGGACTGTGGGGGTGCCCCGAACAGTCCTACCCGGGAAGGATTCACAGGATTACTGATGGGCCAGGAACCACATCTGGCCCCAGATGCCTCTGAGACGTCTCCCAGGGCTGCGGCCGGGAGTGCGAGCTCGTCAGCTCCTCCGCGGGTCCGCCACAAACAGATCTAGTCAGCTAACTAGTACAGATTCGGTCGCAGGCGCAAACACAGAAACACCGAAGCACAGATATTCAGGGAAAATAATCGCTGGCCAGCTTACCTCCCGGTGGTGGGTCGGTGATCCCTGGACAGGGTTCTCCAGATCTCGGTGGGACCTCCAAATGAAAGACCCCAGTGGTGGGCAGTCTTTCAGGCTGAGGAGACCCTCCCAAGGAACAGCGAGTCACTCTTCGGATGCAAATAGCAAGAGGCTTTATTCAGTACACAGGCACCTGGGGCGACTTAGTCTCTCGGAAGACAAGCGCGCCTGCAGACTGGGGGAAGGTCTTTTTATAGGAAAGAGGGCAGCAGAAGCAGATTACAGAAGCAAATGCATCGTTAGTGGTCAGTTGGAATGGGGCAAGGGGCACAGGTGGTTTTTCCTCTCCCAGCACAGATGTATGGGAACAGATATCCTGTTAATTGATGTCCTGTCCTAATCTATGGATATAAAGATCCTGTTTTGCAGCCAGGGACCCTGACCTTACTCTGCACTTACAGTCGTTCGTCAAAAGCTTTGTGAAATGACGTTACAGCAGATAAGCTGGGATCTTTCATAGGGGGAGTTGTCTCTTCTGTGAATTACTGATATTCTAAGTTGGGCACATGTGCTGACTATAGGCATCCCGTTTCCCTAAGCAAACGGGATGTTCTCATTAGAGCAGGCCAGCTGCGGGTTCCTTATCGCTTGGGGCCAGATGGCTGACCGGCTGACCGCAGATATCTTGCCTGGCTTCTCCGCCCTTGTTTTCAAGTCGAACTTCCCTGCTCTAATTACTTGCGTTGCTCCAAAGTTTAAGCCTTGCAAAATGGCGTTACTGCTGCTTAGTGAGTGGGGGTCTTTCAATCCCAGGTGGGCTGGTGGGTGACCATAATAGACTCGATCAACGCGGTTAGGCTAGAAGGGTCCTTGGAAAAGGGTGGGTTATTATTTTTCCAGTTGTAAAGGTCCGAGGAGGAGAACGGCCAGTATAAGTTGACCGTTCGTCCCTGCTCGGAGGGGGAAAGCCTGCGAAGTGGTGGTGTCTGCAGGAAGCGGCTGATCCCTCCGTCCCCTCAAACGCGCGGCCATTGGGGACGGGGCAGCAACGGCAGGTGTTGCGGGCTCTTCTCCCGCCTCCGTTGAGTCAGCCTCATCTGGGTGCTGCTGGGCTGGGTCCTGGTATGGGGGAGGATCCTCGGTGAGAAGGTCCATCAGCAAGTCATCCCCCGGAGGCAAGACTGTCAGAGGAGAGGATCTGGGTCCTAGGGGTTTAGTGAGGGTTGGAAAGAGGGAAGAGCGGGACGGAGGTTTCACGGGGGTGGAAAGGGGTGAGGTGGGTAAAGAGGGAGCGGAAGGGATCGTAGGGAGCAAAGAGGGGGAAGAGGGTTTTGGGCTAACGAAGGGTTTGACCCAGGGTGGTGGGTCAAAAGCCATTGCTTCCCAGGTCACAATATAAGCGACCTGATCTGGATGTCCATGGAGGCCAGGGTCCATCACCTTGGCCTTAACCTGTAAGATAACATTTATGTCAAACGTCCCATCCCTCGGCCAGCCCACGTTAAAGGTGGGCCATTCCGAGGTGCAGAATGTCACCCAGAGCTTCTTCCGAACGTGCACTGACTGGTTGTTCGCAATGTCCTGGATGTCCCTCCAGTGCTGCAGAGTCAGACTCAAGGGGGTGGTTACGGATTGTCCCATGTTCTCGAGGACCGTAACACTCACAACAAAACTGACAAACAGGAGACTGACGAACGAAACACAAAGACGCGCACCGCGGCTTCGGCGTAAAACCGAAAGGAAAAACCCAGACGGAGACTGCGAGATTCCGGATTTCTTGTCTCCCAAAAGAATAACGAACCCCTCGGACTGAGGGGATGCCCCAAACAGTCCCAGTTTGGCAGGTATTCACAGAATGCAGATGGGCCACAAATTTGGCCCCAGACACCACTGGGACGTCTCCCAGGGCTGCGGTCGGAAGTACGAGCTCGTCAGCTCCTCCGCGGGTCCGCCCAGATACAGATCTAGTTAGCCAACTAGTACAGATACGGACGCAGGCGCAAACACAGAAACATCAACAATCACATAGAAAGTTCGCTGGCCAGCTTACTTCCCGGTGGTGGGTCAGTAGTCCCTGGGTGGGGATCTCCAAATCCCGGACGAGCCCCCAAATGAAAGACCCCTGTACTGGGCAGCCTTTCAGTCTGGGGAGACCCTCCCAAGGAACAGCGAGACCACTCCTCGGATGCAAACAGCAAGAGGCTTTATTCAGATACACAGGAACCTGGGGCGTACAAGTCTCTCGAAGGACTGGTGCGCCCTTAGCCTGGAGAAGTAGGCTTTTATAGGTCTGGGGAGCAGAAAGCGTGGCTACAGAAGCGAGATGCATAGTTACAAGGGTCTGATTGGACAATCTAAATGAGGCCAGGTTCAACCTGAGGACGGTTTCGGGTTTTTCCAAGTAATCAGATAAAACCAGCTGACTGGGCTCTATCTGGGGTACAAACCGCCTCTTTCTTGCTTAGTTCCTCATAACAGGGGCCAGGTGGCCAACCACAGACATCCTGTTCCCTGTCTGGCCCTCCACCCTTGCCCTAGAGACTGAACTTCCTTGTCCTAGTTTTGCCCTAGTTTAACTTTATAAAGTTTAAGCCTTGCAAAATGGCGTTACTGCTGCTTAGCTCTTATCCATAACGGCCGGGGTCTTTCAACCAGTGTCACTATTTAGTACTGCTTTGGCTGTGCTTCTAAAATAAACCAATTTAAATTGAACACAAGGTAGACATAGCAAAGAACAAAGAAGCCAGGCTGGGTAACATAAAGACATAATCCTAACTATTCAAGAGTCTGAGGAATGAGGATCACCAAGTTCAAGGCCTGTCAGGCAGACTGAGTTCAAAGATGCTATCTCAAGCTGTAAAAAGGCTGGGGTTATGGGTTACAGGGGTACTCACTTGCACAGCTATGTTTGTGGCTCTAGATTCAATCCCCAGTATTTGGGGGAAGGAGTGAGCAAACATACATTAAGGACTCGCTCAAGAGAAAAATAAAATTGGATCTGTACTTTTTTACCTTTTGGTAAAAATGTGCTTGAATCCATACAAATGTTTAAGGAAAATCTCAACACTTACTTTCAATATATATTCTTTTTAATGGATGATGCAACACACCATTGTCAGAAATAATCTTCTAACTTCTCCCAGCTTTCTACAACGAAGTCATGCAAATGCCTCTGAAATATAAAGCAAAGACTCAAGTAAATTGTAATATTCAGCAAGTACTCATTTAAATAAAATAGGAATATCATTGAGTGATTTGTAACAAATTACTGTTCCATCAAAACTTATATAATCCTCCAATGATCTAACTTGAAGATAAATGGCATTTCAACTGGTCAGCATTTAGGCATGATGGCCCTTTAACTTAGCAGTTGGGAAGCAGAGATAGGTGAATTTGAGTTTAGGGACAGGCTGATCTATATAGAGTTTCAGAGCAGTCAGGGTGATACATTGAGGCCTTGCCTCAAAAACAAAACAACAATAAAAATCCACTTTGGGCAACTAAAAAAAAAAAACAAAACCTTTTTTTTGGTAAATTCTTGGACATATGTCTACTCTATACTCAGTAATTCATGTATAAATATACATGTATGTATACATATATATGTGTGTGTATATATATATATATATATATATCAGAAATACACTATGAAAAGACACAAACCAAAATGTTCCTATTAGTATAGAGCAACAAAAATAATCTAACAATTAAAACAACATCACTATTGTGGCTCAGAACTGAAATCTTCCCAAAGGTCACCTGCTGCCTCCTAGAGAAGCTGACCTCTTGGCAGGTTCATGATTTGATGGGCTCTTTGGGAGGTGATAGGAACTCTGAAGTCTTTTACAATCCAGGAAATGGGGGATGGAGAGGACTCAGTGGTAAGAGCAACTGCTGCTCCCGTAGAAAACCTGAGTCCAGTTCCCAGCACCCATGAGCTAGCTTAAAACCAAATTTAAGTCCAGTTCAACAGGATCCAACACCCTCTTCTAAGCACTTGGTGCAGACATACAAGTGGGCAAACACTTACACAGGTTAAAACACAGCAAAAACAGGAGGTATAAAAGAGGACTTATGTAGAAGGAGTAGGTTCTTAGGGGCAAGTCTTTAGGGAGTTTTATCTTGTCCTGACCCTTTCTTCTGTTAGGATGTTAGGGACCCTAGACAGAATGTCTGAAATTGTGAGCCAAAATAAATCTTTCCTTGTTTTAGGTTTCCTGAATATTTTGTCATAGAAACAGAAAGTTGACAAACACACGCACACACGAAATGAAAAGATGCCAAATCAGATGGCTAGCGCACAAAAGGCCTGCTCCCGGGTGTGCTTACGGTGGTTTCTTGCCAGAACAGAGGAATGACGTAGTAATACACAGTTCAATGAACTGCTCTGCCTCACCCTCCACCCGCCACCTCATCACAGTCAGCAAAGGAACGGTAAACAACTGCAAAGCCAGGCCTGGCTTGGCCAAAAGAAGGGTTTGACTTCTGGAGATACCCGCTGCAAGGTCTTGATGTCACAGATACCAGAAATCTGAAATATGCAAAGGACCCAGGACAGAAGCCACACCCAAGACAAATGCACAAAGGAACCTCACTAAAAGCTGAGCCAAAACTCTTGACATACCTATCTCACTTAATTCTTAAAAAATAATCCCAGAACAATATACATAATATTCATAGTAGATCCTCAGTAAGTATTTGCCAATCAAAAGTAGGTGTTACCTTGGTACGGTAACAACAGGTCCAATTTTACCAATTATACAGCCGTAAACTCTTAATTTAGAACAGCCAGATGCCACTGACTGTTCTTAAACTACCTTACCTTATATGTAAGTGTGTAATAGACAGCATGTCAGAGCATTTACTTCTGCCAGCTTATTATAGTAAGCTAGACTTCCCAATGACAAGTCCACTAGCTTCAATTTCCTAACCCACAAAATGGAGACAAGAGTATCTTTTCTATTCAATCATTAGTACTTGAAGCCTATGTGCTAAGCACTGTTCTAAGATTATCAGTAATAAGGTGGGAAAGCAATACATGACAAACCACGTCTATCCTAAAATTTGAGTTGCCCCAGAAATTCCACCTGTGGAAGACTGAATGAAGCTAGGGGAAACAGGAGCAGGGACTTGTCAGAGGCAAATGTGGGGAGCGCACCTTTGGCAGACTGCTTAGTTAAGGTACATCTCCTGCCTGCTTTGTTTTTGCTTTTGGAGACAGGGTCTTGTAGACCAGGCTGGTCTCGAACTCACAGAGATCCGCCTGCCTCTGTCTCCCAAGTGCTGGGATTAAAGGCGTGCGCCACCACCGCCCAGTTTCTTGCCTTTTAAATCTTACCCTCACATCAGGATCAAGACTATGGAATGAGACAGGACCGGGCCACTGGATCTCTCTCTCTCTCCAATGTGGCAATACTGAAGAAATCTTTTTTCTGCTTTTCACTATTAACTTGGCCTTTAAAACATTTATTAGTGGGTGATAGTGGCACATGCCTTTAATCCCAGCACTTGGGAGGCAGAAGCAGGAGGATCTCTGTGAGTTCCAGGCCAGCCTGGTCTACAGAGATAGTTGCAGGACAGGGTATAAAGCTACACAGAGAAACCCTGTCTCAGAGGAAAAAAATTTTTTTTGTTAGGTGGCAGCGACACACACCTTTAAGCCCAGCATCCAGGAGGCAGAGACAGATGAATCTCTTCGAGGCCAGCCTGGTCTAAAACTGAGTTCCAGATCACTCAGGCCTGTTATACAGAGAAACACTGTCTCAAGAGAAAGATTTTTTTTTTTAATTTTGTGTGTGTGTTTACCCAGTGCCACAGCACACATGTGGAGGCAGAGGACAACTGACAGAAGCAGGTTTTCTCCTTCCAAACTCTTGAGTTCCTGGGTTCTAGCTTAATGTCAAGGGGCAATATTGAATGTATCAATTTGCAGATCCTAATTTGGCTCTTTTAACTGGAATGTTGAGGACGAGCGGCAGAAGTTGGCTTGTTAGGGCACAGCTTGTGATCCTAAATCTGATGATGCTGCTTTCTTGAAGTTGTGTAATTCACAGCTCAATGCAAAACACTGAACTCAATTTCACAGAATTCAGAAATCTCCCAACATCCAAACATTGCCCTCTAATAAAGCTTTTAAAAAATTAAGCCGGGGGTTGGTGGTGGTGCATGCCATTAATCCTAGCACTCTGGAGGCAGAGGAAGGCGAGCTCTGAGATCAAGGCCAGCTTGGTCTACCAGTTAGTTCCAGGTCAGTCAGAGCAACAGTGAAATCCTGTCTCAAAAAAACCAAAATAGGCAAAGAAAGTATAATCATTCGACTTCTAAGGACAACTAAAATGGCCTTATCACTGCAGTTTTACCCGTACTAATCCTGAGCAGGAATCTCGCATCTCAAGCCTTAGGAACCCCACTTTCAACAATTGTTACAAGAGAAGGGCATTCGGCTCTAAGCTAGACCCTTACAAAGTAGAAAGCGGACCATCAGACCTCTTCTGTGATTGGGTTGAAAGCCCACCATTTGGAGGAGTCCTGAGAAGGCCGGGACGCTCAAGTCACAAGAGGTAACTTACAGAAAGTCTCTCTCTGGACGCAGTCACTAATTGGTAAAGCGGATAACAGCGTCAGCTCCCGTTCCAGGGAAATGGACGCGAGTGTTAAGCGGAGGCAGGGCACGTGGAAAGCCAAACTCTTAGGCGCTAGAGGACAGGCCACACCCACTTCTCCGCAGTGGGCTTCCTGCTCCCGCAAAGCAGGAAGTATTCCAGGACCTCGGTGGGGCAAGAAGGGTCTGTTCGCTGAGGACAGTGCCCGCCACTTAACAGGCTCTTGGTGCACGTGTAGGGAAAGAAATCAGTGAGACTGTGGAGAACGCCCGGCAGGCCGGGAGCCGCACTCACCACGCCGAAGCTTGCCAGGTCTGTCCGCTCCCCTGCACTTCCCACTGCTTCCAGTTCAGATCCTCGGGGAGCTGCACGCAGGCCGAGCTAGTCTTCCCCGCGCACAGCCGGCCACACCACATAAGCCCGGCGCGCGCCGAGGGAGGACTGGAAAGTTTTCGCGCCACTAGCCGTAACCCCGCCCACAACCTGATTCCGATTGGCGGTCCCAACCACCTCGCCACGCCCACCAAGGGCTCATGACGTGCTTCCGCCATCTCTGACGCCAGCCGTGCGCAGTCCCGAGGAATTGTTCTCCGCCGCACTTTCCGGTTCCAAGCTGTTGGCTTTCTGCTGTTGGAAGCGCTTCCCCAGCCGCCGGATGTCTTTTTGAAACCTGGATGTGACGTATTGAAGAAGCCGACGGAAATAGAATTGAAAGCGTTCTAAAATGGCGAACCGTACGGTCAAGGATGCGCACAGCATCCATGGCACCAACCCTCAGTATCTGGTGGAGAAGATCATTCGGACGCGAATCTATGAATCAAAGTACTGGAAAGAAGAGTGCTTTGGACTTACGGGTGAGTGACCACGCGCGACCCGCGTCTCGGCTTGCGGCTGGTTTCTTTTGACTCAGTGAGGAACGATAGACCTTCGGGTGCTAGAACTGGAGAAGAGTATGTCAGCCCTTCACATAAACTGCTCTGTGCCTAGACTTGCACTAGACAGGACACAGACAAATTTGACAGGGTCTTTCTTGATGCTGAAGGGTTTCGTTAGGTTCTTTGAGACATTCCAGGCTGGCCTCGAACTCAGAGATCCACCTGCCGCTGCCTCTCGTTTAAAGGCGTGCGGCACCACCGCGCAGCATCTGGGGGTAATGACAGGCGCTTTTCTCCACGATTTGTTTGATAAAGGATTGTTCTCCTAATATTACTTTCTTGCTGACTATGTAGGAGCCCTAAACCTTTAACCGTTTTCACCTTCCAACCAAGAAAAGCTAAGATCTATATTATATCTAAGATGTCTCTATTTGTGTTTGGTTATTTCAGCTGAACTTGTAGTGGACAAAGCCATGGAGTTAAGGTTTGTGGGTGGTGTCTATGGTGGAAACATAAAGCCAACTCCTTTCCTCTGTTTAACCTTGAAGATGCTTCAGATTCAACCTGAGAAAGACATCATTGTTGAGTTCATAAAAAATGAAGATTTCAAGTGAGTACAATGTGGGCTAGTATAAAATTCTCAGTGGTTCAGAATTGGGCTTTGTTAGCTGCCTGAGTGTTGTGTGTGTCATTGCAGGCTTTTGCCCTTGAACTAGTATTTTGACTGTCGTGGTTCCATAAACCTTCTGCTTTCATCAGTCTTGGTAGCTTCCCCTTCCCCCAAAATCATTTCACAAATGACATAAATATACACAAATATATGTACATGTACACACACACACACACACACACTATCTCAAAAAAATGTTGGTAGACAATAGATGAGGGGGTCACACGACAGAGGATTTTCGTTAACGGGTTAGATCTGTGTCTTATCCAGACATTGGCACCTGTTGACTGAGACCTTTAATTTGTTAAGCTTACAGATGCATGGCAAAGAAAATTAGCTGCTCCATAGTATCCGTTCTCTCAGCGTTTAGAGCCAGGAATAATAGCTGATCATGTACCATGATTTGTTTTAGGGGCTTTATAGAAAGTGATTCATTTTGTGTTCACACTATTGCTTTAAAAATATGATGACATTTTACATGGGAAGAAGCCAAGGCCCAGAGAGATGGTAAGTGGTTTGCCTAAGGATGGGCAACAGTTAAGTGGCAGGTCTGGGGCTGAGGTACAGCTTGGTAGTAGAACAAATGCAGGGCTGTGGGTTTGTTCTTTAACTGAGATAGTGCCTCACGGTGTATCCTGACTGACCTTGTATTTATGGCAGTTCTCTGTCCTCTGCCTCCCGAGTGCTGGGTCGCAGGTACAACTCGTGTCAGAATGCATATTCTTTATATACTGCTCTTCCGTGATGAAGCTTGAATTTCAAATGGAGATTTGAGTAAGGATTCGGAACATGAGATAAGGAAAAAAAAATATAACTAGAAAAATAGCTTATGCTGTAAGGACTTAACATGCTCGTGTCCTAATATAGTTCCCTTACGTTTGTTTATGGCACCAAGGCAGTTAGTTAGCCTATAGCTTCTCCATTATAGAAGTTGAGAAAACAAGTTACATGTCTGCAATCAAAGTAATATACGAAATCAGAATTTTAACTTCTATAACTTTGACCTTTTTCCAGAACCTACATTTATAGCAATATATGCTTGTTTTAACATTGTTATAAAATGTATATAATACTTTGTGTTGCCGGGCGGTGGTGGCGCACGCCTTTAATCCCAGCACTCAGGTGGCAGAGGTAGGCGGATCTCTGTGAGTTCGAGACCAGCCTGGTCTACAAGAGCTAGTTCCAGGACAGGCTCCAAAACCACAGAGAAACCCTGTCTCGAAAAAGCAAAAAAAAAAAACAAAAAAAAAAAACAAAAAAAAACTTTGTTGCTAAATTTATTATCTTTTTGGAATCTTAGGCCAATTTTGTAATTCAGTGAAGTTTTACACATGATATATCTGAAAGTTGAGCAACATATACCAATCTCCACAGCTAGTAATTGATTAGGAAGTTCATTGGGTTTCCATATTTTAGCCATCATCTCTTCTATGCTACCTTCAAAATTATGGCTTTTTGTTCGTTTGTTTGTTTTGTTTTCGAGGCAGGGTTTCTCTGTGTAACAACCCTGGCTGTCCTGGAACTCACTCTGTAGACCAGGATGACCTCAGACTCATAGAGATCTGCCTGCCTATGCCTCTTGAGTACTGGGATTAAAGGTATGCGCCACCACCACCCAGAAATTATGGCTTTATTATCTGATAACAAGAAAAACAAACCAGAATACTTTTATCTAATATTGTCATGAGAAAAGTTAGTTATAGAACTCAGAAACTCTTAGGCTGGCCTGTTGTTTCAATGTCCTCTCTCTGTTAGGTATGTCCGGATGTTGGGGGCACTTTACATGAGGCTGACAGGAACTGCAATTGATTGCTACAAGTACTTGGAGCCTTTATACAATGACTATCGAAAAATCAAAAGCCAGAACCGAAATGGGGGTGAGTATGATACAAGTCTCTAGACTATTTTCCTCGGGCACTTGTATTCTGTGTCTCCACTCGTTTTCACAAACACCGAATGTTCCTCTTCATCTGCATCATTGCTGTCTCCGTCTCCCTCACTGGACACATGACTGCCTCCCTTTCCCGTCAGATTGACCTTCCACACCTACTCCATCCACAAGGTCTAGAAGCTTCAAATTGGTCTCTCTATAAAACCTGACTTAGCCTGCCCAAAGTCATTTTCCAAATACCACAGCTTCACTTTTTCCCCTGTAGGCTACTCGATGTTATACTTTGTAGACTAAATGGACCTGTGTTGTTCATGTAGGTACTCCACTGAAAATACTAAGCTTATCCAAGGACAGAGACATCTCTATATGTTTTATACATACACCCTGGTTTTGTTTTGTCTTGTCTTGAGGGCATGTGGCCCAAGTGGACCTTCAACACTGTGTAGCTAAGGAGGACTTCAAACTTCTGATTCTCTGGTCTCTGCCTCCTGAATATGGGAATTACAGGTGTGCGTGACCATGCCTGTCTTTATTTGGCGGGGGGGTGGGGGGGGGCGTATTGGAGAACTGAACCTCATCATGCATGTGAGATCTGTGTTCTGCCACTGAGCTCCAGGCCTTGCCCTCAGAGATACACCTTCTATGTTAAGAAAGGGTTTGTGGTAATACAAACAGAACCTCTTAATTGGAGACACACCTTTCTTCTTAGGAATATAGAAGATTGAAATTTAATGTGAGTTGAATATTCCTTATTCAAAATGACTTAGAGCCAGAGTGTTGTAGGCTTCAGTGCATTTTAGATTTTGCAATAGTTGTATAAACTGTCAGAAACCTCAAATTCTTCAAAATCCAAAACGTAGTGAGTTTCATGCCCATGTTCAAAAAGTTTCAGACTTAAGAATCATTAAGGATTTAGTTGTTTTGTCTTAGGCCTTCTCAATCTGTATTGCACTTTAAACTTGTTTATCATATTTCTTCACTGAACTAATGTGTATTGAGAATTGATGTTATGCCAGGCACTGGAAGCAACATGGTGAACAGGTGGATATGACTGTGGTCATTTTTGAACGAATTCCTTATATTGTGGTAAACTAAGATGGGATTTCTCAAAGCCTTGACATTTTAGGCACATGACGATATGTAGGCAGCGTCCCTGTACCTTCCCTAATGGACACAACTAGACTTCCTTTCAGTAGGGTAATAGAGGTCTGCAAAGTCACTTGTTGAGAACTATAAAACTAAGATAATAGCAGGAAGGATTCTAAAAAACGTGTCCTTTTTGTGCTGTGAAAAATGAAATATTCTTTGTTTTAATATTTTATTTCTTGTGTGTGTCTGTGTTTGTGTTTGTAATAAGTTCATGTGCTATGGTGCATGTGTTGAAGTCAAAAGATAAATCTAAGAATTGGACCTATTTTTCCACTGTGGTTCCTGGGATCAAACTCAGATGATCAGGCTTGTGTGGCAAGTGCTTTTATCTGCTGGGCTACACCATGGACCCCTAAAATAGAAATATTATATATTCGGGGATATTGTGGGTTAATGGGAGAAATTACAACTAAGTGACTTATTAGTGTTAACTTTGGATATATAATCTTGACTTATCTATTCAGTGTTATCCTACATAATTCATAAAGCACTATTTGTGCTTTAATGTTTGTGTCTCCAGTTCGTTTTGTTTTGTTTTGTGGTGTTTGATAGGAATTGAACCTAGAACTTCATATATACAAGGCAAGTTCCTTACCACTGAACTATACCCAGAGCTGATCTTTTATTATTGGAACAGCCTTATTCATCTCTTAGTTCCTTGTTTCTAAAGAGGCTTGATTGGGCTGACATCTCCTGTCGAGTCTGACTTAAGCCTGGGACCCCGATGATTGACGGAGAGAACGACTCAGTTTTCCTCTAACCTCCACACATGTACTGTGCAAGAGCATGCACACGCAGTAAATAAATAATAAACAATGAAAAATGTTTAAAGAGGTTGGGCATTTAGCTCAGTGGCAGAGCACTGGCTAGGTAAGCACAGGACCCCAGGTTCAGTCCCCGTCTCCAGGATAAGGAAATAAAGAGGTGTGGGCATGTAGGGTGCTTCATGGAAAGTTTAATGATTCTTTGACGTTTTGGTTACCCAGGTCTATCATTTCCAGGTTGCTTGAACTGATTGTTTTGCCTTGCAGAGTTTGAACTGCTGCACGTGGATGAGTTCATCGATGACCTTCTGCACAGTGAGAGGGTCTGTGACATCATTTTACCCCGGCTACAGGTATGAGACATGGGTCTGCTATGGAGTCACCTTTTACCTCCCATGCAAACACAAGTACATACTAAAAAACACTGAAGGGTTTTCTTAAAATGTCCTTCTATCACACTTTGTACCGGAGAGGGAATGAGGTAGAAGCAGGGAATGTTTCCGGGGTAGGACGTTGGAAGGGAATAGCTAGAGAAAACGTTTCTTCTTCCGAATATATTATCACAGGTCTTATAGGTGGAGTACCTTTTCTCACACTGATGAGCTTAGGCTATGAAACAGAAAAAAAGAATGTGAACATTCAATCCCTTAAACGTCTTGTTTATCATCCTGCCTCCCATCCCGTGAGGACAATCCATGAAGCACCCTTCAGGGTTGGAGGTAGCCAGTGTTCTTGCTTTGTTTTGTTTTTCTGATAGTCTTGACCATATAGCAACAACTGGCCTGGAACTGACCATATAAACGTTGTTGTCATCTTGCTGTCTTCAGGTGCTGTGATTATAGGCTTGCACCACCATGTCTGGCTAAGACTGCATTTTTAGTTTTAGAGAGAAAAAGATATGGTGGGTAACCTTAGATGAAATGTGTTGTAGTGGAGAGTTGATTGGATAAGGATTTAACCTAAGTTCATGTATTATTATAGAACCCAATCTATAAAATGGGAAATTCCTGTTGAAAAGAAAAAAAGCAAGGGTGGGGAGCTTGACTCAATGGAAAATGTGCCAGGTGTGGTGGTGCGTTCTTTCAGTCCCAGCACTCAGGAGGCAGAGGCAGGCAATTCTCCTATGAGTTTAAAGCCAGCTTGATCTACGTAGAAAGTTCCAAGCTAGCCAGGGTTCATAGTGAGACAAGGAAGGAAGGAATCAAGAAATCATTCTGCTCATATTAGTCCTATATTATTTGTGTTTTAATAAGTAAAGCTTTCCTGAAGATCAGAGGGCAAAGCAGCCATACTTGTCAGCCATACAGGCCAGGGAGTGGTGACATTCACCTTTAATCCTAGGACCGAGGAAACAGATCCAGATAGATCTCTGTTAGTTCAAGGCCACCCTGGGCTGTACAAGATTGAATTTGTCTAAAAGAGAAACAGCTCACACACGGGTGATCCCAGCACTACGGAGGTTGAGACCGGAGTGATATGGCTGAGTGAAGAAGAATATAAGGGAGAAGAGACAGGAACTCAGTGGGGTGTAGTCTTCAGGGTTTGTGGAGACAGGATCTCGCCCATTTTTGGTCTGAGGTAGAGATAAAAGCCCGTGGCTGACTGCTTTGCTTTTCTGATCTTCGGGTTGAACCCCAATATCTGTCTCTGGGTTTTTATTATTCATGCTTCAGCTTAGTGTCTTAACTAAAGGAAAGCTAAGTGAGTGTCACCACCTGTTCCTCCCTTACATCTCGAAACTAGACCTACAGGACAATTTACAGGCGTGGAAGAGATTTGACTATCTTGATTGTAGTGAAAATTTCAAGTGTTTATTTTTATAATAAAACTTAAATTTTGCTGGGCAGTGGTGGTGCACGCCTTTAATCCTAGCATTTGGGAGGCAGAGGCAGGCGGATCTCCGTGAGTTTGAGGCCAACTCTGATTTACAAAGTGAATTCCGGGACAGCCAGGACTGTTACACAGAGAAACCCTCTCTTGAAAAAATTTTATACTTTAAATATACTTACTTTAAAAGTACAGTTTTCATTGTATGTCAGAAAGGCAAGTTGACTAGGATGGCGCATGTCTGTAATTACTAGTGTTCCAGTGGCTGAAGCAAGGAGATGTTGAGTTCAAGACAGCCAGTGACTACACAGGAAGTCTTACCTACAAAAAAAGAAAAAGGGGAAATCCTTAGGGCTGAGAAAATGGCTTAGTCGGTAAAACATTTGCTGCACAAGTCTAACACCCTGAGTACAGATCCTCAGAACTCACACAGAGCGAGCATTTGCAGCAGTAATCCCCCGGGTACTGTCTGGTTCCTCTCAGCCTCTGCATCCCCATCAACGGTATGAAGGCAGGTCATCGTACCTTCCCAATCCTCATGAGCTCCCGGGCACGATCTAGATCTCCAGCCCGTTTGGCATTGAGAGCAGCTACTTTGTACTCTCTCTGTCGGGCTAACAACAGGGCCTGTGGGGCTGGGTCTGCAACGGGCAGAGGAGCAATGGTAGAGCTGCCTGGGAGGCTGGGCTCAGGTTGGAAAAGGTGCTCTACATAAAACAAAAGAACCCCAGAGAATTTGGCTAGAGGGTCAAAAGAGGAAGTTCCAGAATCAACCCCACCCCAAGTCTTGCTGGTCTACGAATTCTTGGAGCGACAGGGAGGCAGGTGACCCGGGTAGGCAGGCTATGGGAACCAGAATAGGATATCTTCAGATACCTGGTTCCTTGGCACACGAAGCTGGGGAGTCTGCCTCAGGGCTCCTGTTGGCTATTTCCTGGTGGGGTGGGGGCCTTTTACCCAAGGCCACTGGAGGTGGAATCTCATCCTCACTGATCTTCCCGCCTTTCCTCACAGTGGCAAGCTGGGACTCCAAAGTCTGAGGGAAAGAATTATACAAGTAGCCCAAGTGGCTACCTGGGGCTTACTGGAGGACAAGCCAGTGACCCAGCATGTTGAGCACACCTGTGAATGGCCCTTCCTTTACTGTCACCTCACCCACGGCCTGACTCACCTTCAGGCCCCGATCACAGCGCCGGACTTTGGCAGCTTCACCGGCCTCCTTGGCACTGGCTGCGGCCTCCCGGTAGTTATGGATCCGTTCCTCCAGCAAAGCCTGCAGCCCCCGAGGCCCTCCAGCCTGTAGATACTTCAGCTCAGGGCTGGGCCACTCCATAGCCAGCTAGGCCCTTGCCATTCTCTCCCTGTGAGGAAGCTACCCCAGAAGACGGATCTCTGGGACTCCGGGAGAAAGAGGTGCCTAAACCCCCAGAGTATGAAACAAAGTCCACAAGAGAAGCCAGACATTATATCAGGGAAACAGAGGCTCCCCTCACCAGTAGAGGCCAAGAAATGATTTCCAGAAGTGGCTGGAACAGAAAGGCCTTTGGAGCCTGCCAGTTATGGCAGTTCCTCATGCCGGCTTTCTGTGTGAGGAGCTGGTAGAGTTACTGGGCAGCTCTGCTGTGTAAGCCATGCTACATGCATACTGTCCATGGACACACAGGGGCCAAGACACATGCGGGCCCTTCTGTAAAACCTACCTGAGGCACTGCAGGTAAAGCCTGTTGGAAGGCTGTCTGCACTGCAGGTTGCTCAGTGTTGTCCTGTGCCCTCTCCTCAGACAAGTCTGGGCTTGTTGCCTCACTGCCATCTAGCAGCCCAGTTTCTTCATCCACACCCAGGACTTCCTGCAGCTCTCTCTGGGGAAACACAGTCCAAGAACTTGGGTGTCTCATGGTCACACTCATGTCTGGAAGAAAGTTAAAGGACCTGCTTCCCCAGCAGTATCTGTCAGTGAAATCCTGAGCTCAGTCCTCTTTACCAACAGCTCTCTAATCAAGGAAGACTGTGATAAAAACAGAGAATTCCAAACTGCAGCACTCAGACCAGAAGTCAAAGGAGACAAATCTCTTACTGTATAGCCACGAGGCCAGGCCTGGGAAGGGAAGGGCGCTCACTCAAGTCTAACAAAGAGGAACAAACCCCAGCCCCTCAATAGCTCTCTCCTCTACCACACCAGAGCTTGATCCTTGGATACCAGCCTGGCAAACACACCAGCAGGTCTGCATCCTCCTCCAGCCCTTCCTCTTCCTCTCCCTCCTCCTCCTCCACATCTCGCATACAGTCTGTTGCCAACTTCTCAATGTGGGCCATGGGTAGGGGGGCTGAGGAAAGAGAGTGACTCAGGTAAGGTGCTGGACATTGACCAAGGATCTTTAGTTCACTGGACTGGTAGCCACCCCAGGCAGAAATCCCCCATCCCTTCTACAGTGAAGTCCCCCTCAGAAAGGGCCTCTTCTTTCATGACTCTTGCTCTGCATGCCTTCCTGGGATCCCACCAAGTAACACGCTGCTCCTTTCCCTGCATGTCTGCTTGCAGGTCAATGTACCTGTTCTACACTGCCCCGCCATGTCTTGCACATTTGTAAATGGTTTTAAATCCACTCAAGTTACTACTTACAGTTCTATAAGATGGGCAACATTATCCTCATTTTCTTGTTCCTTCCCTTTTGTTTGTTTTTTGAGATAGGGTTTCTCTGTGTAGCCTGTCCTGGAACTCTGTAGACCAGCCTGGCCTCGAACTCACAGATTCCCCTGCCTCTGCCTCCCAAGTGCTAGGATTAAAGGAGTGTGCCACCACCACCTGGCCAACATTATCCTCATTTTCTATACTGAATAAATTAGGATGCACCAACATCCATTTCCTCAAATTCACAATCTTAGTAAGTGGCAATATTCAAACCCAGGCTTGTCTTAAAAAAAGCAGGGTTAGGATACTGAGCCCTTCCCAGTCATGCCCTGACTTTAGCTCAAAGGCATACAGGCTGCCTCCTAGGGTTCCTGCTAAGAGGAATATTCAGACCCCTTATTCTGATATCTAAAGGAGATTTCACATACTCACTGACATCATTTCTGTCAGTTTATTATGTACACCATCTCTGTGCTAATGGCCCCTACTGTATACACAGTCCTTCCTATGTAGGACTAATACTAGTCACCTGAGTTAGGCTGAGAATCAGATTTGTCCGAAGAGGGGAAGAAGCTCCAAATACAGGTACATAACTGACCTCTCTGTGGCTGGACTACAGGAAGGATGTAATTATCAAAAGAACTAGGGGAGTTGGCTGTCTGACTCCTTCAGACTATGAGCAAAGGACCCTCTCTCTTCCCCATGGGCCTGCACCGGCCCAGGGGCAAAAACTCACCATGCCCCTTGGGTGCGGGCTTCCTGCTTGTGCTCCCTGTCGCCCCAGTGAGAGCCAACAGCTCAGCCTCCAGGTCTCCGTCATCTTCAGTCTCATCCACCCCCAGGAGCATGTCTTCAGTGTTGAACTCCATGAAAAGCCCCAGCTAAGAACACAGAGAGAATTTTTTTAAAAAATATTTACTTATTTATTATGTATACAATATTCTGTCTGTGTGTACGCCTTCAGGCCAGAAGAGGGCACCAGACCCCATTACAGATGGTTGTGAGCCACCATGTGGTTGCTGGGAATTGAACTCAGGACCTTTGGAAGAACAGGCACTGCTCTTAACCACTGAGCCATCTCTCCAGCCCGAGATTTTTTTTTTTTAAAGAGTTTATTTATTTTGTGTTTTCAAGACGGGGCCTCTCTGTATAGCCCTGGCTGTGCTGGAACTCACTTTGTAGACCAAGCTGGCCTCAAACCCAGAGATCTGCCTGCCTCTGCCTCCCAAGTGCTGGGATTAAAGGCATACATTCCCTGGCATAGAGATTTTATAGTTTTATTTGTAAGAATGTTTTGCCTGCATGTATGGATGTACCATGTGTCTGGTGCCAGTGTAAGTCAGAAGCCAGATTCCCTGAAATTAAGTTATAGATTGTTTTTTTTTTTTTAAAGATTTATTTATTTATTAGGTATACAGGCCAGAAGAGGGCACCAGATCTCATTACAGGTGGTTGTGAGCCACCATGTGGTTGCTGGGAATTGAACTCAGGACCTTTGGAAGAGCAGGCAGTGCTCTTAACCACTGAGCCATCTCTCCAGGCCCCAGTTATAGATTGTTTTAAGCTACCCCGAGGGAGCTGGAAACCATACCCAAGTGCTCTTAGTAAAAAAGCCATGTTTCCAGCCTCAGAGAAAGGTTTTCAAAACACTCGGGAGGCAGAGGCAGGCGGATCTCTGTGAGTTCGAGACCAGCCTGGTCTACAAGAGCTAGTTACAGGACAGGATCCAAAACCAGAGAATCCCTGTCTCGAAAAACAAAAAACAAAACAAAACAAACAAACAAACAAACAAACAAAAAATCATTATTGGTTCAGTACTAGAGTGCTTCTTCCTCTTCAAGACTCGTATTCAGTCTCTGGTACCGCACTGGTGACTCGCAGTTGCCGGCAACAACGTACATGTGGCACACATTCAAACATACATACACACATGTGGCACACATTCACACATACATACACACATGTGGCACACATTCACACTTACATACACACATGTGGCACACATTCACACTTACATACACACATGTGGCACACATTCACACATACATACACTGAGGTAATTTTTAAATCACACAATGAACCAGAACATGAGGGGTTAAGACAGGAAAACCATCCCAAGTCCAGGACCAATCTAGTCTACATAGTGAGTTCCAGGCTAGAACCCAAGAACATCCACAAAACAAACAGCAAGAAAGACTCACACAGCCGGTTGTGGTGGCGCACGCACATCCACAAAATAAACAAACAGCAAGAAAGACTCACACAGCCGGTTGTGGTGGCACACGCCGGTAGGATTTGCTGAAAGAGGCAGAAGGATCACGAGTTCGAGGCCAGCCTTTAAAAAAGAAAAAGAAAAAAAAAAGAAGAAGACTCACATAATGGGGTCAGGTTATGGTGGCACATGCATGCAATTCCAGCACCTGGGAGGTGCAGGCAAGATGATCAGGGGTTCAAGGATAACCTGGGCTATACTGAGATCTTAAAAAAAAAAAAAAATCACAGCCGGGCAGTGGTGGTGCACGACTTTAATCCCAGCACTGGGGAGGCAGAGGCTGGTGGATCTCTTTGAGTTCAAGGCCAACCTGGTCTACAAGAGCTAGTTCAGGACAGGCTCCAAAGCTACAGAGAAACCCTGTCTCAGAAAAGAAAAAATCACCTAACAAAATTATGTGTAGTGGGCTCATGCTTCTGATTCCAACACCGGAGGAGGTGAGGCAGGAAGACTACGAGTTCAAAACCTGCCTGAAGTACATGGTAAGCTCAAAGTCAGCCTAGGCAACTTGAGAGAGAACTTGTGTCAAAAGAAAAATAGGGCTGAGATTACAGTTCAGTACAAGGGCACTTGCCTAGGATTCTCAAGGCCGAGTTCCATCCCCACTCACTCTGGGACCCAATGTGAAGATAGGTAAACAGGTTGAAACATGGAGAATTTTTTTAAAGAAACCAGTAAGACAACAGTGCCCTGTTCTAGTTAACAGTAACAGCTGGTGGCCACAACACAGTGTCACTCATGACTTATATTAGTTCTTCTCACCATCCTGAGATCCTACCACAAACACCCTTCATCTTTTTTGGGAAGAGGGGGTAACTTGAGACAAGCTTTCATTGTATAACCTAGAACTCACACTCTTCCTGGGGGACTGTACACGTGTACCACATTTATTTAACTGTGTAAACACATAGCATGAAATCTGCCACCTTACCTATTGTCAAGCGTGAAGTTAAATGCTAATATACATTCCCATTGTTATGCAACCATCACACTATCCATTCACAGGATGCACGTGCCTATTAAACACTGACCCATCTCCCGCTCTCCACCTTGATATTCCAGGCGACACAGGGACTAGTTTACCCCAGTGGTCAGTGATAGCTGAAACTTTCTGGATATTTATGCACTTTACCCCAACCCACCTCTTACCTGATTTTTTATCTGTCTGTTCTAATTTATTAAGTCTTTTTATATGTATGATGGTTTTCGCCCACATGTATGGATGTGTAGTATGGGTGCAGTGCCCATGGAGACCAAAAGAGGGTGTTACATCCCCTAGAACGGGAATTACACGTGGTTGTAAGCCATCCATTTGGTGCAGGGAACTCCATCCCCCTCTTCTGCAAAAACAGCAAGTGCGCTTAACCACTCAGCCACGTCTCCAGCTGACAACTATAATGATGTTTGCCTCCAGGCTGACCTGAAACCTGAAGCCCACACTGACCTTGAATTCATGACCTTCCTACCTCTGCCCCCAATGTACCGGGATTTTGAATGTGGACCACCAAGCCTAACCTACCTGCCTCCAGAAGACAATAAAAATAGACGAAGACCCAGAAGAAATAAAGGAAGAACACATAGAAGATATACCTTCTTCAGACCCGCTCACTTGAGTCTGTCCCTGTCGGTGGGCAGCAACTGACTCCCATTGGCTACAGCCCTAAAATCCTGGCATCCTAGAGCTAGCCAGCAAAGTTGTCACCTGTGAACACTTAGGTCTCAGGACAATCAAAGCCTCGGTAGCTCCTTAACTCTCAAGTTATTTATGTGGTATGGCCACAACAGGATGGCCAAGTGGAACCCAAGAAAGGTCAGGCTCTAGTCACTAAACTCTAAGGACTTCACCACTTAGAAGCACTGCCTGTCCTCTGTGGACTAACAGGAACACCACACAGGTGACACAATTCATTACAGGTGACTAGAGAGCCCCACCCCAAGTTAAGAGGCCATGTCCATACCTGCTTAGCAGTTGCAGCACCCTGGCCTCTGGTCTTAGGGCCGTTCCGAGGTCTTGACCCTGGCATCTTGGCAGGCTAGATACCTATTAGGTGCAAAGTTGAAGAGACGACTGGAGTAGATGAGACATGGCCAACAGGGGTACCAGTGATTAAGGAGCAAATTTCTTCAGGTAAAATGCCACTTTGTAACTAAAGAACGGAGGCAAGAGGTGGCAGTGGACGAAAGGCTGGGTACCACTGTCAACAGTGTGTACATGACAGTTGTTGAACTGACTGATGGACATGGGGGACAGATCGATGGAAGCAATGCTAGGCTCAAGTGCTCCGTCGCAGTACATGCCTAATGGGTACCAATCACTAGGCAACCCAGACACAGAGCGCTTTCATAGTCCCAGTTTCCGTGGACACTCTGCGCCTGACTCAGCATCCAGATCCTCTGAAAGATGTCACAAGTGATCAACGGGTACTGTGGCACGACCCGCCAGGACTCATCATGGGTCTTCAAGGAAACAGACCCATGGGCACACGACCATCACAGGGCTACTGCGGGAGCCATGGGTGCCAGAAGGGGCCCTTACCCAAGACATCAAAAAAGGCATCTTAGAAAGGATGATGCCTGTGCTGAGTCATAAAGTTTGGAGGCTGGGGAAGAGCAGAGTTCCAAGCAAATCAAACAGATACCAGTTCTAAGATGAGAAATGACTTGGTCTACACAAGGAAAAGGAAGGCCCAGCATTACTGAAGCATGAACTAAACCAGAAGACTAGAATGGAGACATGACCCAGGGGCGAACAGTAAACACCTTTAAGGCTCTAAAAGTATTCGGGCGTTATCCCGACAGCAGTGGGAAGCATCATGGGCTGCAAAAGGTGCACGGGGAAGTGGGGGATGATACAGGGCGGGAAACTTTGGCCCTGAGCATCAGGCAAGCCTGCGAAGGAGCGTGGGATGGCGTGGGGACTGAGACTCAGACGGGGTCTCGCGTCTGGAGCTGGAGTCGACAGAGCTGCGAGGTTCCCTGGGTGAGAGCGCCCAAGCGCTCGTCACTGCAAGTGTCAGATTTCGACTCCGGTGAAGAGCGAGGGGTCAGCCGGGGCGGGATGTGGGGGGTGAAGCAGCTCGGGAGAATGAGGCTTTGCACTGTCGCTCGGGTGCCGGAGGCTGGTCGGAGCTCAGGAGACGCGCGTCCTCGCCGGGCTCCCCACACTCGCGCGTCCTCCCACTGCCAGGCCCGACCCGGCCCAGGCGGCCTCTATCTCCCCGGCCGCCCCCAGACTCCACACGCCGAGAGATGGGCACGTGGCATACCTCGCGGCGGATCCGAACCAAAACAGGGCCTCCCACAGCCCGGAACCGCCAGGCTTCCCGCGGCCCCCGGGCGGCTGTCGAGACAGCCACAGGAAGCGCCCGCCCAGGAGGCGGCGGCTCGCGCCCGGCACGTGACCCCACAGCAAGCGACCCGCAGTGCGCATGTGCGCGGGAAGCGGGCGGGGAGCGCATCCAGGTGACGCTGAGGGTGGGGCTGGCGCTGCGCAGGCATCGTGGGGCAGGTAACGCGAGACCGGCGGACGGGAGCGCGGGAGGGTTGGCGAGGGCGTGCCCCTTCCGGAGCGTCTGTGCCTGGCGTCCTTGCGCGTTCTCCTCGCTCAGGGAGACTCTTGCCCCCGTGTTGGATTCTAGAAGGCGGCCCGAGGACCTTTTGCACCTAGCCGTCCTAGGCGCTGAAAACCAAGTCTCCAGGAAATGGGGCTCCTTTGCAGTCCGATTAGAGGAGCCAATCAGTCTGTGGACTGAGGCAGGAGGATCGCTGCGAGCTGACAGCCGCCGCTACCTCCTAAGGCGTCGGGTTAGATCGGACTGATGGAACTGACCTGCAGAAGGACTATTCCATCTCTAGAGTTGCTTCACCCCCCCACTCCCCCTACCCCCCCACCCCCACCCCCGTAAAACCCCAAGATCCCCACACCACATGCGCAGTGTCACTTCATGGAGAAACTGCAGGCTTCAGTTCTGATGGAAGGAACAGACCCACGTGTGGTGCACAGTTAATCCTCTTAAAGTTATTTTAACATTTTTATAATAAAAATTTTTAAGATATATACAAAGACATACAACATTGCACATTTACTGCTGGGTGGTGGTGGCGCCCGCCTTTAATGCCAGCAGAGGCAGGGGTATTACTGTGATTTCGAGGCCAACCAGAGTCTACAAAGCGAGTTCCAGGATAGCCAGTTCCAGGATAGCCAGTACTACAGAGAAACTCTGTCCCGAAAAAAATGAAGAAAACAAAAAATCCTTTCAGTTTTGTACACAAACTTTTTTTGTCCCCCCAACCCCACCCGAGACAGGGTTTCTCTAACAGTCCTGGTTGTCCTGGAACTTGCTTTGTAGACCAAGCTTCCAAGACTAGCAGGACACACTCATTCTGAGCACCTCTGTTGCAGTTTCCTCTGAGTTCTACAACCAGAACAGCTTCATGATTGTAGTAATATGAGCTGCGGGGCTGCATCCCCAGCACCCCGGCCGCTTGCTAGCTTATGCCCAAAATAACAACACACAAACTGTATTCATTTAAACACTGCTTGGCCCATTTCTATCTAGCCTCTTCTAGGCTAATTCTCACATATTAATTTAGCCCATTTCTAATCATCTGTGTAGCACTGCTAGGTGCGCTTACCGGGAAGATAGATTCTAGCCTACGGCCACCCTGGGTAGGAGCTTCATCGCATGTGCCTCAGAGAGCAGAGCTATCGCATCTGCCAGGGAGAGGGGAGCATGGCGTCTCTGAGCTCACTTCCTCTTCCTCCCAGCATTCTGTTCTGTTTACTCCTCCCACCTATGTTTTAACCTATCAGGGCTAAGCAGTTTATTTATTGCTTAACCAATGAAATCAACAGATTGATATATGACGATCCCACATCACAAGATGACTGACTGAGCTGACTCAGCCTCACAGAATACTCCAGTCAGGACTTGACCATAATTCTAAATTTTCTTTGAATCCCCATAAGATTATCAGTGCACCCAACAAGCACAAAGTAGCTTAGAAAACTATGCCCATGTTCTCCAAAAATGGATTATGGAAGTTTTGTCTTTGTTTACAGTGTTGGTTACAAGCTGTTATGGATAATGATAAAGAAAAAAGCTAAACAAAGCTTAGATTAGAAATTATAAAAATATTCTGATACGGAGGCTGGACGGGTGGCTCACCAAGGAACAGACTTGGTCCCAGAACCCACAGGGCTACTCACAACCATTTGTAACTAGTTTCAGGGGATCAGACAACCTCTCCTGGCCTCCGAGCAGATTACACACAGATAGTATTACACTTTGATGCAGATAAAACTGCTGTAAAAATCTGAGTGTTTGCCTGCATGAATATATGCACACGCACCATGTGCATGCTTGTCAGGAGCTGTTTCCTCCTAAAATCATTACAGGAACCATCACCCTGGGGAGTCTGCAGAGAACCCCACACCCACAATTGTGTTAGGAATCGTTCTATTGACAGAGCCTACCCCACACCCAAATTGGCTGTTAATGGAGAGCTATCTGTTAGCGGAACCTGCCCCATATTCCAAACTATCTAGAGAACTAGGTGTGTCATCTCCTAGTTGTGACTTCCTGGCCTACGTGACCTGACCGAACGTAACCTCCTGGCCTATGTGACCAACGTGAACCACGCGGCAAGAGCCCAGGCCCCTGTGCCCGCCCCCCAACTCCTTACCCGATATAAGCTGTACCCCATCTCTAATAAACGGAGGCTTTGACAAGAACCCCACTGAGCCTCCTTCTTCTCTCTTACCCAATTTATCTTCCAGATAGTGCCTCTCTGTGACCCTGGAATAACTGACTGCAGGGTGGGTTACAACCCCTAGACTAAGTAACCCACCCAAAAGCGGTTTACACATGCTTGGTGTCCTTGGAAGATAAGAGGAAGAATTCAGACACCCTATAACTGGAGTAATAGATGGTTGTGAGCTGTCACTGGGTGCTGGGAATGAAACCCAGATTCTGTACAAAAGGAAGTTCCCTTAATCCCTCAGGCATCTCTCCAGCTCTGTGAATGATACCTTTTAAAACCTTATAACTATTATTTCTAATAGTTCTTAGTTTTTTTTTTTTTTCAGGCTGGTCTTGAGTTTAGTATGTGGCCCAGGCTACCATCAAACCTTGAGTAATCCTCTTGCTCCAGCCTGAGCACCATGCAGGGTACAAGGCACCAGGGCTAAAGGCATCTGGTTTGCATTCAGCAGTGGGAAATGAACCCATTGCCTCCGGCCTACAAGGAGCCCTGTCACTATGATGAACACAAAACCCTAGCAGTTCTTTTATATAAAAACAATTTTACTTTTTGTCATTCACAATCAAATACATCATGACATACAATGAAGTCTTCCTATCACTCCTGACAAACCGCCAGGAACTTCCCAGAGGCAACCAGCGTAGCCAATTTCATATAAATTCTCCCAGAAGTACTTTACATAGATAAATATACTATATACATGTCTTTATATACATAGTATGTTACCATAAACTTCTCAAACACTCTGGATAAATCAAACTAAATAACTTCAAATTCTACCACAACCATTTCCATTCTGTTTTTCTTTAATTCCATGTTCTGAAGAAAAATAAATAAGGCTCTTTGGGAAATAGCAGAAGTCCTTGAAGCCCTTCATGCTTCTTTCAGAGCATACAGCACATCGTCTTGGCTCACGTTGAGCCTCACTCGAAGGAGAAGGTCACTCCTGCTGGACTCCACCAGGAGGAGGCGGCAAGACCCCAGACGTGAACACACAGCCATGGTCTCTGACATGGTCGGGTAAGGCAGCCCCTCTATCCTGCACAGAGCCACATGCTGACTGTAGATCTAGACAGCAAGAGTAAAGCCAAGGTCAGGAGGAACAATAATCCTGGGTTTGTATCCAATCATTCATCTTTTCCAAAAACTGGGTGCTTGGGCAGGGTGGGTGATGCTCTCTAATCCCTAGTCCAAGTCCTTGGGCGGCAGAGTTCCAGGACAAGCAAGGCTGTATAAGACCAGTCTCCAAACAATCAATCACTTGGTTTTAAATGGAGACTGTGCTTTTGTTTAGCTGCCCAGACCCAAATAATCACACAAACTATATTAACATTAATTGCAACAATGTTTAGCCAATGGCTTAAGCGTATTCCTAGCTAGCTCTTATATTGTAAATTGACCTATTTCTATAAATCTATGTTATCACCACAAGACTGTGGCTGATACTCCTACTTCAGACTGGTCTCAAACTGAATATGTAGCCAAGGATGAATGAATTGATGAACCTCCTGGCTCTACTTCAAAGTCCTGGGATAACAGGCATACACCACCATGCCTGGCTTAGAACTGTACTGGAGAATGGATCTCCAATTTGTTCATTCAAGGCCACTATCTACTTTGAAGTATATCCTCAGCCCCACATATTCTAAGTGTTAGCTATTGAGGGCTTTCCCTGACATACTCACAGACTCCTTGTCAGCCCTGCTGCTCCTGGATACCTCTGGGCACCAGGTTCTAGACTATTCTGCCAGTCCAACCTGACCCCTTGAGATTGGTTGAGTGGCCACCTCACCCCATCTCCACTGGCTAAGCCCAGCCCCCAGATTTCCTTAATGGCCCTACCAGGAGGCTAGAGAATGGCAAGGCCCTGCCATATGGGGGTGGAAAGAGATTCAGATCACATAACCTCTCCAATCCCAGGCTCCCCTGGAAAGCTCCCCCTCACCAAGAAACCCTATCTACCCTTATGTTCTGCCCAGTTCTCTGTTGCTTCTCATCCCAGCAGAAGCAATCACCCCCTTGGGGCTTCCCATACCAAGGAATCTCTTGTGTGGGTTTGTTATACAGTGTGACTTTGTGGTGTTCCTTGGCACCCAAATGCCAGGATACTTTCCCCATCAGAGCTGTAACCCTTATATTAAGAAGCCTGGACCCATATCTAGAAGGATCAAGAAAACAGCACTCAGCCAATACCTGTTGAAATGTCGCTTCTTCTAGTCCAGATCGACGGAATTCTGCAATAATGGCTCTCAGGAAGCCCTGCTCCAGGAGGGAACAGTTTCTTAAAGGAAACCAAGAGATTTGAATACTAAGAGGCTGCCTGCACCCCTGGCCTCATGGAGGAGAAAAACACACAAGGAAACATTTCCTACTTCTGGAATTATACCTGCACCTCAAATAAATAAATAACCAAAAGAGCCCATCTCCAAATTTCACGAGTGGGTATGCCTCAGTTAGAAACAGTGACTTTCGGCTCATGTAACTTTCCTTCTTTTTGATTTTATAGATAGAATTTCTCTGTGTATCCCTGGCTGTCCTGGAACTCACTATGTAGACCAGGTTGGCCGCAAACTCCAAGAACTGCCTGCTTAGCCTGTGTCAGATTGAAGTCACATGCCACAACTACCCAAACTGTTCATGTAACATTAAAAAAGTTGTGTGTGTGAGTGCGCGTGTGAACTGCAGAGAGCAAAAAAGAGTGTCAGATCTGAGAACTGTAGTCACAGGCAGTTGTGAGCTGCCACGTGGATACTGGGAACTAAATTTGAGTCTTGGGTGCTTTTAACCGCCGACTCGTCTATCTACCAAATGTGCTCCTTTCTTTTTTTGAGACAGAGTCATCGTATAGCTCAGACTGGAACTCACTATGCAACCTGGGCTAGTCTTAAACTTGTTGCAATGTTAATAAGCATTCATCTGTTACCCAAGGATTTTGGTTTTGCCTCCCTGATTGCCCCTATGGACTTTCTCTACCCAAGGTGTAGATTGAGTTCAGTCTAAAACAGAAGCACATTTCCAAAGCCCCAACGCTGCGATCTCTCCTCAGATCCTTCCAGAGGTGTGGGCAGCAAAGCGTCTTACTTGATGGCAGTGATATAGGGTGAGGAGAACATTTCATCTATAGCCTCCATTAAATGGGCCACAGTCACCAGGCCCGGAGAGTCACCAGGCTGACGGGAAAGCTCGCAGATCTCGGTGGCACGCCTGCAGATGTCCAAGCAGCGCCGTGCATCTCCGGAGAGGGCTGCTACCTACAAGAGGAAAACGTTTTATTTCTTTCTTTCTTTTTTTTTTTTTTGATTTTCGAGACAGGGTTTCTCTGTAGCTTTTGGTTCCTGTCCTGGAACTAGCTCTTGTAGTCCAGGCTGGCCTTGAACTCACAGAGATCCGCCTGCCTCTGCCTCCGGGATTAAAGGCATGCGCCGCCACGTTTTATTTCTAATGTCCACTTGCCACCTGATGTGGGAGTGTCATATATCAATCTGTTGATTTCATTGGTTAAGCAATAAAGAAACTGCTAGGCCTATTTGATAGGCCCACCCTTAGGTGGGTGGAGTAAACAGAACAGAAGGCTGGGAGAAAGAAACTGAGTCAGGGAGTCGCCATGATTCTCACACTCCAGACAGACGCAGGTTAAGATCATTCCTGGTAAGCCAGCTGGTGGGCTACAGCAGATTATTAGAAATGGGCTAGTCCAGTGCGAGAGCTAGCCTAGAAGAGGCTAGATAGAAATGGGCCAAGCAGTGTTTAAAAGAATACAGTTTCTGTGTAATTATTTCGGGTAAAGCTAGCCATGGGGGCGGCCGGGTGCCAGGGACGCAGCCCGCAGCTCCTTATTTCAACAGCCACCTCAACCCAGGTGAATAACCACCAGATATATGGAGATAAAAAGGCAGGCGGTGCTGAGAATGGCCTTGTGCAGAGAACCCAACACCCTCAATTGTGTTAAGAAACCGTTCTATTGACAGAGCCTACCACACACCCAAATTGGCTGTTAATGGAGAGCTATCTCTTAGCGGAACCTGCCCCACATTCCAAACTATCTAGAGAACTAGGTGTGTCATCTCCTAGTTGTGACTTCCTGGCCTCCGTGACCGTGGACCACGCGGCAAGATTCCATGCCCCCGCCCCCATCCCAAGCCAAACTCCTTACCCGATATAAGCTGTACCCCATCTCTAATAAACGAAGGCTTTGACAAGAACCCCGCTTAGCCTTCTTCTTCTCTCTTAGCCCATTATCTTCCAGATAGTACCTCTCCGTGACCCTGGAATAACTGACTGCAGGGTGGGTTACAACCCCTAGACTAAGTAACCCACCCAAAGGCGGTTTACACCGGGTTCTCATTCTGTGTGCCCCAAGAGCAGCTTATATTAAGGCCAGAAAGAGAACATACTGGGAGGCAAGACCTCCCAGAGCATGTAGTGAATTTAGGAGAACTGACCAATCAATTATCTAAAAGATTAAAATTAAGATGGAGGAGAAAAGGAAGAAATCCAATGTGGGGAAGCCCTTTGCTGAGACAAATGAACCAAGCTCTGCACGATGCCAAGAGCTACGCTGCTGTCGTTCCTTCTCATGTCCTGAGAAATGGAGTTTCCAGGCCCGACTCACTCTCTCCCATGCCGGCTCAGAAAAATACCCAAGAGGCAGGCGGATCTCCATGAGTTTGACGCCAGCCTGATCTACACAGTGAGTTCCAGGATAGCCCCCAAAACCACACAGAGAAGCTCGAAAAACCAAAACACCTCCCCCCAAGGGAAAAAAAAAGAATGTTATCTGCTTGTTAAGTTTTGACAGGCTATCCCAGACCTTGCAATCCTCCTGCCTCACCTTCGAAAGTGCTTACAGGGATAAACTGCTATACCTCAGAGCTACTGCAGCCTACAAAGACCTCTTTCCCAGCTCTTATATTCCCAGTATTCGTCAGCAACCTGGAATTCATCTGTCTTGGACCTCACCAAATTATCTCTAAAATGATCCATTCCTCCAAAATTGTGGCACATAAACCAAGAAAACGACTAAGTATATATGTATACTTACATATATACTTAATACACTACACTAAGACATCAAAAGTAGTCATCTTAGCATGGTGCATGCTTTCAATCCTAGCAGGCAGGCAGATCTCTTGAGTTTGAGACCAGCCTAATCTATATAACATACTAAGCCAGCCAGAGTTACAGTGAGACCCTGTCTCAAAAGGCAAACACGGCAGTCATCCCTGTACGGTGGGATTACATGCTATTGTATGTAATGTTCTGAAGAGACCAAAGCCACTCCTAGTTAGACATGAGCAGTGCAGTCCAAACATTTCCTCATTACCTCCTGTCCTATCAACACCCACACCCTGTGAAACAGCGCCCTGGTGACAAACAGTACCAATTGAAGAGCCTGGACTAAGGCAATGAAAGGAAACACTCAAAGCAGCTCCACTGGGAGCCTGGGTCCCTTCTGAGGACTGACTATTGTATACAGCCTTGTCTGTAGAATGACGGTCCCATATAAACAGGTCCAACTCTGACCAGTTGCTAAGCTCTCTTCATTCAGCATACACAGCACGGGGCATAGACAACAGGTGCTCAGAAGGACTTGTGGATGGGCGTGGAGGTGTAGCAAGGATGGTGACTTACCTTTCTGGCTACCAACTGGATGGCATCATCCTCAAAGGCCTTTAAATGCTTGAGTCGGGACACTACAATCTGTTTCAGTTGGCTGTGAGAATAGGGCTGGAAGGACATCCTGGTGAGACCCTGGAGAGCCGAGATGAGAGACGAACAGGTTTCACCGCGTCCAGGTAGGGACAAAAAACAAAACAAAACAAAAAAGCCACACTCAGGCCCCCAGCCTGATTATCAAGTCCAACATAACGACACGTTTCTTTCCATTTTCCCTTTCAGTTCTGCCAGTACTGGCCATGACTGGGGTGTCCTGTGGGACAGCAGCTCTCACTCTTTTATCTTAGAACCTTTATTCTCCTAGAGTCATCTGAGGAGAGAGAGGTGCGCTACCGACCCGCATAGCTCCCGCCCTCCTTACCATGTTCTCAAATGGTTTGATGTCGGCGTTTCCTGCCAAACTATAAGGTCCATGAAGGCCAACAAGTCTGCCTAGTTCTCTGCTTCACTGTAAGCACCTAAGAGGTGGCAGGTGATACATGCTTAAATATTTTTAAAACTAATTAAACTTCTAAGACTTTGTGTGATTTAAAATTGCACAGGGACCAGAGTGCCAAGTCATAGGGTATGGTATGTGTAAAAAAGAAAAGGCAATGATTTTTAATTCCAACATAAAAATTACAATTATGGCAGAAATCATAATTGTTGGCCTTCTAAATTTCCATTTTTACACAACGCCCTTGACTTACCAATCTGCTGGATACGCGGTTCATCATGATCCTTTCTGGCAGGTCCATGGTGTTGGCAATGGCCAGGACAACCAGTCGGGCTCCTTTGTGAGTAGGCCAATCAAAGAGATTATACATGACATCTTGTTTCTGAGTCCAAAGAAGGTCGAGCTGCCCAAGGACATATACAGTGTCGGTGAGACTGGTTGGGCACCTAAGTGACAGCTTGCCCACTGAGTTAGCGATGTGCTGCCTATACTATTCCTGCTCCCATGCGCCCACAGGCACCTTACCTCATCCACAAGCAGCACGGTGGTTTCCTGTGGGGACCCTTGGTTGCAGAATCGCTTCGCCAGCAGCTCTGCCGCATGGTTAGCAGTTGCCTTCTGGCCTGTCAGCTTCTGCATGAGGAAAAGCAGTTGCTGTAGTCTGTAAAAGAAGCTCATCTCCTTACTGTCTCTTACTCTAGTCCCTTCCCCAAGAGGGATATCACCGGTCCCAGGGCAACAGCTAATGAAAGAGTGTTTACACCCTATTCCAGGACATCCTCCACCATTGTGAGCTAGTTTGCTGCACGCCGGCATGTAATCAGTCAACATTTAGCTCCTGTGCCATGGTTTTTTCTTCGTTTTAAGATTTATTTATTGTGTGTAGTGTTCTGCCTGCATGTATGCCTTCAAGGCAGAGAGGGCACCCGATCTCATTACAGATGGTTGTGAGACACTGTAGTTACTGGGAATTGAACTCAGGACCTCTGGAAGAGCAGCTAGAGCTCTTAACCTCTGAGCCATCTCTCCAGGCCTGGCCATGGTTTTGGAGTCTAAAAATTCTGCCTACCTCACTCTTGCCACCTCTGCATAAATATGTAAAATGCAAATCAAATTAAGTAAGCCTTTCCTTTCCCACGTGCTTCTAAAGAACTGTTTCCCAAACCCCTCAACAACTTTGCCTACCTGTAAGATCTGCACATAGACTTGGTGGGGTTCTGTCAGCTTCATGCCATTGACCTCAACGTATTCAAAGGGAGGAACATCATTTGTTTGGGCTGCTTGCTGCAGACAGCGCATGACCTCGTGTACAGTGGCCGTCTTCCCTGTCCCAGGAACCCCAGAAATGTACATACACCTACAGCAAGAAAACAATACTCATAGCCTGGGTCTGTGCCGTCCACATCACACTAAGAAAGAGCAAGCAAGCCCCTTGAGATAGGGAAGTAGGAACAGTGAAGACTACCCTAGGAGACTCGTCAGAGTTGGACCTCTTTAGACACTCACTCTACAGTCAAAGCTATATGCATGCAAACTGATTACTCAAAGGTCACCCCTCCTTTTTAAATTGAGACAAAACCCCATGTAGGTCAAGCTTGCCTCAAACTCACTTTGTAGCAAAAGATAACCTTGAACTCCCGATCCTCTCGCCTCTGCCCTGCCACCACCACGTTCAGTTTCTGCAGTTCTGAAAGTCAGGATGCCACTCTTCTAGGCTTAGCAGTGGTTCTGCTTTCCCTGCTGACCCTGTGTGAGCAGCTCTTCCTCAGACTACCTGTCTACCCAGCATTACTCACCCTCCAGTCCCATCAAGAACTTTGCTTTCCACAAAGTTGTAGATGTCTTGGAATTCCTGCTCCCGACAGGGAAGAGAGTCAGGCACAGCAGAAACATGCAGCCTACATGGAAAAGACACTATTATTTCTGTCCAGGAATGAAAAAAGAAAGAAAGAAATCCCTTACTTTTCACCTCTCCACAGTGCCTCACCTACCCTCCCTTTTATCCACCAAAACCACGGGGTAGACCAAAACCTATGAGTTTCAAAAACTCTTGCTCTCGTCCTGCAATTTAAGAGAACTCCTACTTTAGGGTCCTGTAACTAAGAGACACCACCCTCAGAAACACCAAGAGGACGGCACAAGCCTGGGAGACATTTCCTCCCATCTGCATCTCCCTGGCCATTAGTTGTTCTGTAAGGACTTGTTTACTGTCTTCCAACCGTACGCACAGATGACTGCAACACCAGCACAGCCAACTCCACCTCCCCAGCACTCTGATCTATCCAGGTTCTATTACCTCAGCCGGGCTTCCTCCAGCGTGCTAGTTGGCTCCTGGATAGCGAGGTTTCTATGGCGAATCTGAGGAGTGGCGTGGTGAGGTGTTCTACGACTAGGCTGTAGTCAATGAGAGCATAAACTGTAATAAAGCAAAACCACACACACACACCATCCGGGACACAGAAAATTGATCTGGACCTCCTACATGAAAGAAATAAAAATGATTTATTCCTCATTCCCACCCCTCACATCAAACATTTTGTTTATAGTCCAAACATGATCTTTTTTTCTAATACTTATATGGAATCGGAATTTGAGAACAGTTATTTTGAGAAAGGAATTAAAAAAAAAAAAAAAGATTATTCAGCCAGGCATGGTGGTGCCTGCCAGTCCCAGGAACTGGGAGGCAGACACAGGCCAAAGCTACACAGTCAGACGCTGTTTCTAAAACAAACAAAACCCCCAGGGCTCCATACATACTACATGGGTACTCTGCACTGAACTACATCTCTGGCCTTTCATTAATTATGTCAAAGCTAGAATATTATTAGGAAACTCAAGTTACTCTGCTCAAGAAGAGGAGGCAGGGGCTGGAGAGATGGCTCAGCAGTTAAGAGTATTGCCTGCTCTTCCAAAGGTCCTGAGTTCAATTCCCAGCAACCACATGGTGGCTCACAACCATCTGTAGTGAGATCTGGTGCCCTCTTCTGGCCCGCAGACATACACACAGACAGAATATTGTATACATAATAAATAAATAAATATTTCTAAAAAATTATTAAAAAAAAAAAAAAGAGGCATAGGTTGTATGTGATTCCTGAGATCTTGTTTATTTGAAAATACGGTCAAGTTTTGACTCAGGAATTCCTCAGCCAATAACCTCGTACTTGGAAACATCAAGAAAACAACAACACCCAAATTTATTCTAAAAACAGGGTCACTACTCCCCCTCACAGGCCCATTCTTCCACGGGGTTTGCTAACAATGGAACTATAGGCAGCCTTAGGAGTGCTGGGAATCAAACTCGGGTCCTCTAGAAGAAGTGCTCTTAGCTGCTGAGCCCTCGCTCCAGCCGCACAGGCTCACTTTTTCGTGATGGTTAATCTACGAATCAGACCTATGCTTTCTCTCACTTCTCTCCACCTTTTCCTTGGCCAAAATGTGCAAACTGACCAACTGGGGAGCAAACAAAGGACCTGCAGGAAGGTAAGCACAAGACTGGCAAACTCATTATGTCCAAGGGACCACACGTTTCTCTTTTTTCTGGTGAGACCCAGCGGATGTGAACAATCTGAACAGCGAGCTTTTTACACCTGTATTTGAGTAATCCAAGTAAATACACCTTTAGTTCAAATGGAATCTACTAGACTCCCTTCCTTAGAGCCTGCTCTTAAGACTTCAGCCTCAGCTCCATCTTGATCTGGAAAAATGGAGAACAGTTTCTAAGCAAGCATTTCCCAACTGTATGCTGAAGAGTTCTACTATGTTTAACACTACTGTTTCTCTAACCCATCTCTCTGCACGAGATGACCCCAACATCGTAATGCTGTTACAGTTGCACAGGAATTTCCTTCCGTTTTCCTGTTGCACATTGATTACCACATATAAGCAGTATCCCTGATCTCTGCTGTATTAGTGCAGCCTGGAATCCAATTCCCCGAGTGCCAAGGGAAATGCAAACACCACGACTCAGCAGTGTTTGTGCTTCCCTTAGGAGGCTGTGCTCTTGGCCTTTTGACTCTGGCCCTTAAAAGGAACTTGAGTGCTGGAGAGAGGGCTCAGAGGTTAAGAGCGCTGACTGCTCTTCCAGAGGTCCTGCGTTCAATACCCAGCAACACATCTGTAATGAGATCTGGTGCCCTCTTCTGGCCTGCAGGTGTACATGCAGACAAAAAAACCTACACATAATAAATACATCTTTAAAAAAAAAGGAACTTGAACCCTTGAGCAGTCTGGGCCAGCCTAGGCTTTATAGTAACACACAATCACAAAATAACACAAGGGAAAAAGTCATCTTCAAGTAGATTAATTTTCAATCAAGTTCACGTAAGCCTGTTCATCTAGGGAACCTTCAAGTAGATTAATTTTCAATCAACTTCACGTAAGCCTGTTCATCTAGGGAACGCACTACTTTAACAATCCTAGCCCTATGCTAAGAATCCAGCTGTTACTGTGAGATCTTAGAACTATCATTCTATACCATATAGGAGGGACACGTCACTGGTAAACAAACCCAAAAAAGCCTTACTGTTTTCTTTGGTGTCTTGGAGGGGATCTGCAGTGATGGCTTTGAGGCCATTCTCCGGTTCCTGGACTGCCCCTGGGGATTTTGCCTCCGAAGGGAGGGAACAGAGTCCTCCTCCTCCTCCTCTTCCTCTTCCTCCTCCTCACTAGTGCAGTCTGACACCTCTGCTGAGGATATGAAATCTTCCTCTTCGTGGTCACTTTTATCTAGAAGCCTGAGGGGTGGAGACTGATTATTTTTTATTATTTGATGTCTTAACAACTGGATAAAAGTGTGCACGGGAAGCATTACATCTCTTCCAACACCAGGCAATATGGAATTTGTTTCACTTCTTAGATACTTGCTTGAGATATTCTGCCAAAGGCATTACATATCCACTGAATCCCTCAACAACTTTAAGACTTGTGTATCTTCCCTGTTTTGTTCATGAGGGGGTAAGGATTGGAAATGTTCATCTTCTCAAATTTCAGTTTCAGAAGCCCAAATTCAAACTAAGATCTATCAAACAAAGTTAATGCTTTTAGGCATCCCACGCTCCCAGACTTGCAGGAAACAAGAGTGATGGAAGCCAAGGAACCACAAGCCCTGGCCAGCATTTCTTGTCCCTTTCAAACTATGACACTTGTACAAAATGCTAGGTGAAAAAGTATCAATGCACTGACTGGCCACTCACACACAAGGGACATGAAGGGACAGATGCTATCACAGGTAAGAGCAAGGTTCTTCTGCTTGTCAATGAGCAGTCTTACCAAAGCTGCTTCTTAATCCGACTCAAAGTCACAAGTGAACTCCTTCTATGAACACGATGGGAACTACGGCTGTGAGCTTCTTGTCCTTTTGTCTCCCTGTAAGGTATCACACCTGGATTAGAGGAAAGCGTTAGAGACACCAAGGGTCCACAGTAGGTACCGGAGATAGTCAAGTCTTACTGGCTCCTATTCTTTCTATAGCAACCTTGGAGTTAATCAAACTTGGCTCAAAAGCTCATCAAAGAAAATTCAAGTTTTATTTAACACATCATTTAAATCAGACTTTACTGCTCTGTTACTGTGGATCAAAATGGATAAAAATACTTAGTATTTATTGAGCAACCTATTATGGGCCAGGTGTTGGGAATTTCTATTTAAGAAATATTGAAAATCAAGTTATTTCTAGTCTGTCACTTTTACTGTACACTTCATTAGCTATACAAATGATCAATGACCAAACTAAAGCTTGTCCTACATTTATTGTCTTCTTTTACTACATTTAAGAGTAGATTCTAGCTTCATAAAAATGAAAAACCATCCAATTGGATAAAAATGATCACTACATTGTGGCAAAGAGCCACAGCCAACAAATGAAATCCAGACTGTGAAGCAGTATAGTTTCAGACATAAATATCGATATTCCCAAGTGACATCTGAAGAGAAAAAAAATGTCTTTTTGGAGATAGTGTTACTATGTAGATTAGCCTAGCCTTGAACTCAATACATAGCAATCCTGCCTTAGCCTCCAGATTACAGGCATAAAAAAAAAAAGCCAAGGCCAACTTCAAAGAGCATTGCACGATACAGATACCTGGGCCCAAGACGTGGAGCCTAATTTACTAAATCCAGGCTCAGAAATCTCTATTTGAAAAAGATTCTCAGACTCTCGGTCTGGTCAGACAGCCACAGCTCGACAGTTTCCCTCCACGACACCCAATTCTCATCACAGGAAGTATCTCAAGCTGGTCTGTGCGAGGGGGCAATACCCCTGCTTACCTCCTAATGTGCTCTGGTGTCAGAATCACGGTGGGCACCACGGAAGACCTCACCCTGCCCCTGACAGGGAAAAGGGCCCCCTCCACATTAATCTTGGCAGTCACCTCAGCTGGGCCTTGGGCTCTCAGAGTCATGCTCTGTTTGGCACAAATGGAAGGAGCCTGTCCATTTTTTCTTAGAGTTTTCAAAGCTGAGGAGGTCTTGATTTCACCAGGCTGAGACCTTTTAGGTGGTGAGGCTGTCTCAGAGGAGGCTGTTTTTCGTTTAGAATTTTTTTGAGGCTCCAAGGAGTCACAAGAGATCTTCTGTGATAACCTCATGTTAGGCTTCCTGGGAAAACCTAAGCCTAAAGAGACAATGTGGGATGTTAGACTTGAACCCCCGATCTCATACTGTAACTGAAGTTACACAGAAGAAGGTACTCATACTTTGAATTAGTCCATATTGTCTTCCTCTAGGCCAGGTGGCCTCTTTTTTCCTAAACTTCATGACTTTCCTATTTAGAAACAGACATGACTTTTGTTTTCCTATTTCAGTCCCGAGGACTGAACCCAGACCCTTGCTAAGCATGTGCTCCACCGCCGAGCTCCATCTGCAGGATTTAGAACCTGAGTTCTCAGTTAGCTTCCCCAAGGCAACACTGCAGGGTAAACACTTCCAGTGCAATGGCATTTGAAGAAATTTATAGTACAATACCGAGTGACACCAGACCCAAATTTTTCCTGTTTTTTTTTTCCCCCTAAACCCAGATTATATCTGGCAAGATAGAGGAGAAATCATTACATGTAGATCTGTTCTACTCTTGCCAAGACTATGGGAACCGGGGATCACAGCCCTTCATAGATACAGCTGAACTATTAAAAAGGCAAGGATTATATTAGGTCCTAGCAAGAAACAAAAGGTGAATGAGACTTAACCTTGGTACTTATCCATGGACACGCTGCTCTTCTAACTCAGGAGATAGCAGGCAGGAATGCCTACAGTCTTAAAGCACAGATGAGACAACTTCAGTCATACTTATGAGAGACAGATACAGACAGGGTTTCAAGAGCCATCTAATGTCTATGTGGCTTTATTCACAATCATGAACAACTAGAAACACCCAGATGTCACCTACTGGGAATTAATAAACTGTAGCTATTGATACAATAGAGCACTGCATATAAAGGATCAAATCACCAATAGGATAATAACAGGAATGACTCCCAAATGAATGAAAGCAAGAAAAGAGAGCCAGACAAAAAGGCCAGACTGTGATTCCAATGATATGATATCCCAGAAAAGCCAACCATAGACAGCAAGGACATCACTGTACAGCAGGCGTTGGGGAAGGAAGAACTGGTGTATCACAAAGGATCACAGCACACTGAAAACTACTTTACAACCATACTTACCATCAAGTTCGAGCAGTTTCTTTGCATTGGGGGACACGGGAGGAGCAGGTGTCTGGCAAGATCTGGAGGTAGAGTGACGTGACTTAGGCTTTTGGCACTCAGGGCTATCCTCTAGCGTCTTCAAAGCTGAAAGTACTTCTGGTGGCAGTGGCTCAAAATTCTTTGTATTCCAGGATAGTTTCACAAACAGTGTCTCCTCACTTTTCTGATCCATAGGGAACACTTCATCTGGGGCTAAAGCCACGACCTAAATTTTGGAAGTGCAATAAACGAGAAACGATGAAGACTATACAGCCAAGAAAAAACACCACGACTGCAATGAAACTACTTAAGCTCACATCTTTATATGAAACGCAATCTTTTATATCTAAAGAGAAAGACATTAACTGAGAAACTGAGCATTTACAAAGTCATGAATAATTTGAGGAGGGAGTCAGTGAAATGGAAATCACCCCCTCTTATTTTGTCTTTTAAACGGCGTCTCTTTGTGTAGTCCCAACTATCCTCCTATATAGATCAGATTGGCCTCAAACTCAGAGTTCCATGGCATCTCCTGTGTGCTGGGATTAAAGATATGTGTCAACACACCCAGCAAATTAATCTTGTCGCCCCCCTCCATCGGCTTTACTTTATTTGCACAGGGTCTCCTGTAACTTCTGATCCTCCTCACTCTACTCCCTAAGTATTGGAAGTACAGAGATGGACCTCCATAGCTGGTTTGTATAGTGCTAGTGATTGAACCCAGAGAATGAATGATCCTCTGCCATGGCTTCTCCACCCCCCTCCCTAAAACTCCCTAAAACTTCTCAACATGTTGAACAGTTAGCGACACAGCTGCAAGATGACCCAAACTGTTTTTCAATGTCTTCTAAGCTCACTTCCAGAGCGCTCAGCATTCCCTAAATGGCCAACCATCACTAGCAGAACTTGGCTCTAGTAAGAGTTCTGCTTATAGTGTGATCTTCCCAGGTACCCCTTCTCTCCTGCCCTTCTGTTCTCGTTATTTCCTGTTGCTACGATAAATCACACCGACCAAAACTAACTCAAGGAGGAAAGGGTTAATTATTCCACTTTACAGCCGACAGCCCTGCTCACCATCCATCACTGAGGGAACTGGAGACAGGAACTGAAGCAGAGGCCATGGAACAACGCTCTTTACTGGCTTGCTGCCCTTGCTTTCTTATGCCACCCAGGAGAGGGCACCATACACTGTGGACTGGGCCCTCCCACATCCATCATTAATAAAATGCCCCCATAGACTTGCCTACAGGCCAGTTTGTCAAAGGTATTTCATAAAGACTCTCATCAAGTTGCAGAAGCTAACGAGCACACCTTCCAAATCCACCTGCTCTGCTGCTTCAGCTTCTACATCCACCTTTCCCACCTTTATTAACAATAACATGAATTACTGTAGCCAGGTGAGACCAGTCTCTCTGGCCAATTGCTAAACCAGTTCCCCAATCACCCAAAGCCAGACTTCACACAGGAGAGTCTAATCCTACTATAAAAGCAGCACTAGAAACAAGAAGCCTGCACACACACACACACACACACACACACACACAGTTTTCAAAATGTTGTCTACTTCAACAGCTTAGTTCCTCAAAACAAAAATTCTCTAATACATGAGGTAGCACAAATAATAAAAGCTCAGAGACAAATGTTGGGGTTCAAGCTGAAGATCAGAAGAGCAAAGCAGCCAGCCTCTACTTCAGGCTAAAAATGAACGATCCTGCCTCCACTAAGCCCAAGGCCTGTCTCCTCCCATTTTATACTCCTCTCCAGTGCTGGGATTAAAGATGTGTGCTACCACTGCCTGGCCTGTATGGCTGACTAGTGTAGCAGCTTTGCACTGATCTTCAGGCCAGCTTCATTTATTAAAACACAAATAATATACCACTGTACAAGGTTGCCTTTAGCAATGGGCACTTTTTCAAAGTTATTCAAAGCAAAGTCCACATTTTACAAAACACACCCAACCTAACAATGCTTTGTGCCTGTCATAATCATAGCTATATATGATTTTTCACTAAGACACATTTTCTAACTCCTGCTCTTCTTTCAGGTCATAACTCAAATGTTACTTCCTCTAGAAGGCCGAGAACACACACTCTATGCTCTCAGTATCTGTGGGATAGGGCAAACAGCTAGAAAAGACAAGACAATAATTCAAATTAGAATCAGTAATATTTCTTTCTTTTTTTTTTAAAGATTCATTTATTTATTATATATACAGTGTTCTGCTTGCATGTATACTTGCAGGCCAGAAGAAGGCACCAGATCTCATTACAGATGGTTGTGAGCCATCATATGGTTGCTGGGAATTGAACTCAGGACCTCTGGAAGAGCAGTCAGCGCTCTTAACCTCTGAGCCATCTCTCCAGCCCTAGAATCAGTAATATTTCTGAGGTCATGCAGCGAGAGCTGTTTAGAACAACACCTACCTGAACAGGGCCGATGATGGTCTCCACATAAACATTGTTATCACAGTCAGAATAGTCATACCAGAATATCTCCTGGGCAGCAGGCTTCCGGCCTAATAAATGCCTTTTAGAGATAGGGATCTCAGAGAATCGGACAAACCACTGCACTCGAGCACATTTCTTGGAAGGAAATTGAGATCCTAGAGGATCAGGTGGGAAGTAGAGATTAAAATAGGAAGGTGAACTAATGAACAATGCACCACTGAATATTGCCTCATGCCAAAGACTACACAATACAAATATAATCCTCCCATAAGTCTACAAGCAGGTACTATACCTATCCCCTTTATAGGCCAAGAAACCAAGTTTCAAGAACCTTATATAATTTGACAATGATCAAAGGATCAATCAGCAGCAAAATGACTCCAAATATGTTCTTTATGGTGCTCCACTTTTTATAAAAATATTTTATTTTTGTTTTTTTTTAAAGATTTATTTATTTATTATGTATACAACATTCCTTCTATGTATGCTCGCATGCCAGAAGAGGGCACCAGATATCATTACAGATGGTTGTGAGCCACCATGTGGTTGCTGGGAATTGAACTCAGGACCTCTGGAAGAGCAGTCAGTGCTCTTAACCTCTGAGCCATCTCTCCAGCCCCTTTATTTTTGTTTTATGTGTGTTTCGTTTTGCATATATGTCTGCGCTCTACTTGTGTGCAGTATACACGGAGGCCAGGAAGGGGCATTAGCTTCTCTGGACCTGGAGTTAAAGACAGTAGGTCCTATAAACTAGCCCTGGGTCCTCTGAAACAGTGAGTGCTTCTAAGTGCCGAGCCAACTTTCCAGTTCCGGTGTTCTACTCTTTTTCTAAAAAAAAATATTTATTTATTTATTTATTATGTATACAATATTCTGTCTGTGTCTGCCTGCAGGCCAGAAGAGGGCACCAGATCTCATTTCAGATGGTTGTGAGCCACCATGTGGTTGCTGGGAATTGAACTCAGGACCTTTGGAAGAGCAGGCAATGCTCTTAACCGATGAGCCATATCTCCAGCCCCGCAGTGTTCTACTCTTAATAGTATTCATCAGTATAAAAAGGAATTTCCAAAGGGAAGAAAAACAAGTTATTATAATCATAGGCACTTAATTTACCAATGGGAAAATTTTACAAATTAATGACTTAAAAGGAATGGTGGTTCATATCTGTAATTCCAGCACTTGGGAGACAAGGACAGGAGCATTCTGAGTTTAAGATCAATAGAGTTCAAGGCCAGTTTGGGGATAGAGATATGTAAAGAAATCGTACTTGTAAACTCTCATAGTAACTTCCCCGTGTCTGAACTCAGAAAATGTGGACCCAGCTGCTATGGAATATTATTTTAATATGTGTTATTCATTTATGCTGTGGAATATATGTTAAATGATGCAAAGATGTGTTGTGTTCTTTCATGTTGTATTTGTTTAACTCTGTAAAGCTGTGTTTCTCTGCTTGTCTAAAACACCTGATTGGTGTAATAAAGAGCTGAAAGGCCAATAGTTAGGCAGGGGGAGGAGAGGTGAGGCTGACAGATAGGGAGAATAAATAGGAGGAGAAATCTTAGGAGAAGATAGGGAACAAGAAAAGAGAGAGGCTATCAGGGGTCAGCTACCCAGCTACCCAGCAAGCCATGAGTAAGAAGAAAGGTATATAGAATAGAGAAAGGTAAAAGCCCAGAGGCAAAAGGTAGACGGGATAATTTAAGAAAAGCTGGCTATGAGGCTGGAGAGATGGCTCAGCAGATAAGAGCACTGGCACTTCTTCCAGAGGACCTGGGTTCAATTCCCTGCACCCACAAGGCAGCTTAAAATACTCCAATTCTACGGCATCTGATACCTTCACACCAATTCACATAAAATAAAGCTAAATAAATTTAATTAAAAAAAGAAACAGAGAGAGAGAAAGGAAGGAAGAAAAAGAAACAAAAGCTGGCTAGAAAAATGCTAAGGCAGGCATTCATAAAGGAGAGTAATTTCTGTGTGTGTATGCATTTGGGAGCTGGGTGGGGGGCCCCCAAGGAGAAGAGAGCGAAAGAGTAAAAAAATGAATAACACCCTGCAGTGCAAATCACCAGTTTTCCTCCTGTCTTCTTAAACTCCCCACCCCTAATCCTGCACTTGACATTCTCACTCCTAAAAACAATGGAAAGGCTAAATTCTTGAGCTGATTTCATTTCCCCACACCTGTGCTGCTGAGTGTATGTCACAGTCCACGGTGCTCTGTAAGTGCCTGTGAACAGAGAACTCAGCATCCTCCCCTCCTGCATACTCTGCAATCGTGCCCAGTAAGGGAAGGCTTCCATTTCAGGCCCAAACTCACCATCTTCAAATAATTCAGTCAGTTTAGCAATATAGGGCTTTGCATTATAATTTCCTTTAATCAACACGAACTGTCCAACCTTGATGTGAATTTCAGTGGAACAGTCATTATCTTTCACGCATATTTCTCTAGAAAGCAAAAAAGAAACATGATCGTTAAAGTGGGAGTCGATTTTGAGGATTTGGCACAAAAGACAACATTCTTTTAAAGGACATTTCCTGTTCAGGTACCTCTTTTGAGATTTAATTCTTTATTTTATGTGTAGGCATGCTTGCCTGTGCAGTGCTCATGGAGGCCAGAAGAGGGCACTGGATCCCCTGGGACAGTTGTGATCCACACTTTAAGTGAGAAAAATCAAACCTGAATCCTCCCTCTGTAAAGATTAGCCAGTGCCGATAACCATGGAGCAATCTTTTTTTCTTTTCTTTTTTAATATTTTTTTTCTTCCAAGCTCAAAAACATTCTTAAGGGCTCAGTGGGCAGGAAAAACACCAATGCACATAAAATAAAAATAAAGTTTTAAAAATCCTTCAACTGGAAATTCCTCTAAATGACTTCTCTAAGTTCTCCAATTATCTTACTGGGAAAACAATGTATCCAGTCAAAGTACACAAAACGGGTAATGAATTGTTTTAGCATAAATGACTACTTTAGATGCCTTAAATGCCTATATGCTATTGACGAAGAACAATAAAGGGTTCGGGAGGCTGGAATGCTACCCAATAATATCAAAACTGCTAAGGAATGGGGAGAAGGCTCAGTGGATGGAGCACTTGCTGAATGAGCAAGCACAAGGGTTAGAGTTCAGCTTCCCAGCACTCATGTAAAAAGCCAGGTAAGTGTAGAACCACCTGAAGTACAGCACTTGGGAAACAGAACGAGGAATCCGCAGGGCAAGCTCACTAGCTAGATGAGCTGGAATTGGTGAGTTCTGGGTTCGGCAAGAAAAACAAAAGAAACAACAACAACAACAAAAACTGCACCAATAATAAAACTGAGGGCCTCCTAAGATTCTGGGATCTCCATGGATGAGGAGCCAACGGTGGTTGTCAACACATCAAGGATAAAGCATTTTTTAGATAGAGGGCAGTTGCATGTACGAACTCACAGCGATTTTGACAGGACGCACAAGACCTTTACAAGCTCCAGCCAGGCATAGAGGAGAGAGAGATGGGCAACAACAACAAAAACAAAACAAAACAAAAAACCCATCAGTAGCTAGAAAGCGATTGGCATCTGACAGCTGCTGGGAGAGGGAGAGAGTCCGTTTACTTTAATAATAATGTGGTCCCTACAGGACAGACCAAGACCAGTGGGACATCACAAACTTAATCTTAACTCATTTGGTAAAGGAAAAAGAAAAGAAGAAATCTCAAATTGGGGTAGAAAGGGATGCGATGGGAGTGGCGATGGGAGGAGGGAGGATGATGAATGTTCAAAACACACAGCAGCAAAGAAATTCCCAAAGAATAAAAACACTGCAATAAATAAAGCACAGAGCAACTGAAGAAGCACTCAACATTAATCTCAGGCATCCAAAGAGCATACAGGCCTGCCCCGTATATATGCATGCGCGCGCGCGCACACACACACGCGCACACACACGCGCACACACACACACACACACACACACACACACACATTACACATGCACGCAGAAACAAGTTGGGAGGGACATAGTACCAACATCTCTTATCTTTTAAGCTTCAAAGAATCCACTTTAAGTAGAAGACATTATGGTACACCTCAAATTTTACTAACCAGCCACATCAGATATTTTTATAATCACACAAAACTTTTTTAAAAATTCATTTCTATTGTCCCTCAAACCTCAGTCTTTATCGAGTAGAACAGTTTAAATACAAGCTTAACGGTTTAGCCTAAAAAGTGACATTTTGCAGTCCCACTGAAGAGCTTCATCACTTACTTGTAGATTTGATAGTACCGTTTTCGATCCAGCAATGGCCTGCCAACCCATGAGAAAGTTTTCCGGGTCTTCTGCCTTGTGACATAGGATGGCATGGCTCTGATGGGGTGTAAGATATAATCAGTCCCCGCCTCCACTGAGTTCAGTCCTTGTTTCAAAACACCTGCCGCACGCTCACAGTTTAAGCTGGGTCTCTTCACACAATCCTGACAATCCTGGAACTCACTGTAGACCAGGTGGTCTCAAACTCATCAGAGATCTGTCTGCTTCTGCCTTTCAAGAGCCGGAATTAAAGGTGTATGCTGCCTCCACCTGGCTGGTAGGTCTGTACTTGTAAGCATTTACAACTTTTCCTAAATATTAGGCCCCAATTTCCCTGGGTGAAATTCATTAAACCATAATAAGCAATATCTACATAAAATATACTAAATTGCCTGTGTTTAATTCCCAACAAGATTGACTTTATCCACAAAAGAAATGTCATTGAGCTAGGACAAGCAAGGCCACAGAGAAACCTTATTTTGAAAAACCAAAAAAAAAAAAAAAAAAAAGAAGGGACTTACTTCAAACAAAGCACAACAGGTGTGAACAAATATCTAAATGAAATGTCTTCAAAATTCAGATGGGGTAAAAAATAAATGCAGTTATCTGCAAGCAATGGTGCAAAGAGTCTTAAGGAACCACTAGAAGTTAGAGGACTAAGTCTTGAGATTCGGGGAGAAAGGGCTTTGCAAGGATTTGAACTGAATAACTCAATATTGAATAATCAAAAGACACTGATAAAATGGACTGGAACGAGGGGTTACCAGGGATAGAGGGATAAATATGCAAAAGCAGCATTTGAGGGAGTGATGATAGATTTTATCAAGTGTGTCATTTCACTTACATAAAATAAAAAAATCAGGAGCTAGAGACCTAGCTCAGTTGGTAAAGTATTTGTCATGGAAGTATGAGGACCTAAGTTTATTTCTGAGAATAGTGTTTCTCAGAGTTTTATTAATGAGTATTTTTATGGAGGAGGGTATACTTCTTGTAACTAATTATTACGAGGGGTTGCATATTGTGTTGGATTTCAATAGTTTAGGTGGGTGGATGGTTTATCATGGTGATGGGTTAGGATTAAAGAGTGAGGGTGGTGTTGGGGTAGCTGCCTTGTATAGTTGTTCTGCATGAATAATAGTGGTTTCTGTTTCTGGCTGAACTTTATTTATGGGTATTTATTATTATTTAGATTACTCAGCGTTATTAAATGCTTAGTAGAACGTGCTGTTGTTAAGAGGTAATCGGGTGGAATCGGATCATTAGGAAAACACCTGTCACAACTATGGTGCTTGAGTGGAGGAGTGCGGAGACAGGGTTGGTCCTTCTATGGCTGATGGGAGTCACGGGCGGAGTCTGAATTGTGCTGTTTACCTGTGGCTACGATCAGGACTCCTATTAGTGGCAAAATGTTTGGGTTGTCTATTATGAAGATTTGTTATAGTTCTCAGGAGCGGGAATTTAAACAGAATCAGGCTATTGCTAGGATGAACCACATGTCTCTGACGCGGTTATAAAGAAAGGCTTGTAAGGCTGCTGTGTTTGTGTTGGCTCAACCATACCATCAGCCAATTAGTAAGAAGGATATAATACCTACACCTTCTCAGCCAATGAAAAGTTGGAATTGTCTGAAGTAAGAATAATTATATTAATAAGAAATAGAAGTATTTGATAAATTGATTTAGGGGTGGGTCTGAGTATATATATCATGTGGTGACAAAAAGGGCTACTGGCAGGAAAATAATTGAGAAGTCAATTTTGAAGCTTCGTGATAATTTTATAGTGCCAATAGTAATTCAATATCAGTTGGTGATTAGCAACTCTGCATTGATCTTGTGTGGCCCAGGGTGGCCTTGAACTCACAGAGATCCATCTGCCTCTGTCTCCCAAATTTTGGAATCAAAGGTGTGTGACACCACTGCCTGGCCTCTGATGGCTTGCTTTGCCTTCTGATTTACAGGTAAGTTTTATTTATTAAACCATAAATAAAATATCACTACAGGTATTTAGGGTAAATAAACCACGTATATAAGATGAAAAAGGGACTCTGGCTCTGGATCCCTTCCTGTTGCAAGGAGTCTGCTTTCTCCCTTACTTATACTTTGAATAAAAATTAGCTTTGCAAAGACCTCAGGAGGGAGGCAGGGAGAAGAGATAGGTGAGTGATGGCCTTGAACTTCAGCATTTGGGAGGGGGAGACAAAAGGATTTTTGCTGAGTTCCAGTACAGCGTGGTCTACACAACACATTCCAGGTTATCCAGGGCTACACAGACCAAGACCCTGACTCAGAAACAAAATTATAAAACAGGCAGAAATTATTGTGTAATGATTATGTGGAGTATAATTCACAACATATTACCAGTGTCACTATTTTGTACTGCTTTGGCTGTGCTTCTAAAATAAACCAATTTAAATTGAATACAAGGTAGACATAAGCAAAGAACAAAGAAGCCAGGCTGGGTAACATAAAGACATAATCCAAACTATTCAAGAGTCTGAGGAAAGAGGATCACCAAGTTCAAGGCCTGTCAGGCAGACTGAGTTCAAAGATGCTATCTCAAGCTGTAAAAAGGCTGGGGTTATGGGTTACAGGGGTACTCACTTGCACAGCTATGTTTGTGGCTCTAGATTCAATCCCCAGTATTTGGGGGAAGGAGTGAGCAAACATACATTAAGGACTCGCTCAAGAGAAAAATAAAATTGGATCTGTACTTTTTTACCTTTTGGTAAAAATGTGCTTGAATCCATACAAATGTTTAAGGAAAATCTCAACACTTACTTTCAATATATATTCTTTTTAATGGATGACGCAACACACAATTGTCAGAAATAATCTTCTAACTTCTCCCAGCTTTCTACAACGAAGTCATGCAAATGCCTCTGAAATATAAAGCAAAGACTCAAGTAAATTGTAATATTCAGCAAGTACTCATTTAAATAAAATAGGAATATCATTGAGTGATTTGTAACAAATTACTGTTCCATCAAAACTTATATAATCATCCAATGATCTAACTTGAAGATAAATGGCATTTCAACTGGTCAGCATTTAGGCATGATGGCCCTTTAACTTAGCAGTTGGGAAGCAGAGATAGGTGAATTTGAGTTTAGGGACAGGCTGATCTATATAGAGTTTCAGAGCAGTCAGGGTGATACATTGAGGCCTTGCCTCAAAAACAAAACAACAATAAAAATCCACTTTGGGCAACTAAAAAAAACAAAACAAAACCTTTTTTTTGGTAAATTCTTGGACATATGTCTACTCTATACTCAGTAATTCATTTATAAATATACATGTATGTATACATATATATGTATACACACACACACACACACACACACATATATATATATATATCAGAAATACACTATGAAAAGACACAAACCAAAATGTTCCTATTAGTATAGAGCAACAAAAATAATCCAACAATTAAAACAACATCACTATTGTGGCTCAGAACTGAAATCTTCCCAAAGGTCACCTGCTGCCTCCTAGAGAAGCTGACCTCTTGGCAGGTTCATGATTTGATGGGCTCTTTGGGAGGTGATAGGAACTCTGAAGTCTTTTACAATCCAGGAAATAGGGGATGGAGAGAGGGCTCAGTGGTAAGAGCAACTGCTGCTCCCGTAGAAAACCTGAGTCCAGTTCCCAGCACCCATGAGCTAGCTTAAAACCAAATTTAAGTACAGTTCAACAGGATCCAACACCCTCTTCTAAGCACTTGGTGCAGACATACAAGTGGGCAAACACTTACACAGGTTAAAACACAGCAAAAACAGGAGGTATAAAAGAGGACTTATGTAGAAGGAGTAGGTTCTTAGGGGCAAGTCTTTGGGGAGTTTTATCTTGTCCTGACCCTTTCTTCTGTTAGGATGTTAGGGACCCTAGACAGAATGTCTGAAATTGTGAGCCAAAATAAATCTTTCCTTGTTTTAGGTTTCCTGAATATTTTGTCATAGAAACAGAAAGTTGACAAACACACGCACACACGAAATGAAAAGATGCCAAATCAGATGGCTAGCGCACAAAAGGCCTGCTCCCGGGTGTGCTTACGGTGGTTTCTTGCCAGAACCGAGGAATGACGTAGTAATACACAGTTCAATGAACTGCTCTGCCTCACCCTCCACCCGCCACCTCATCACAGTCAGCAAAGGAACGGTAAACAACTGCAAAGCCAGGCCTGGCTTGGCCAAAAGAAGGGTTTGACTTCTGGAGATACCCGCTGCAAGGTCTTGATGTCACAGATACCAGAAATCTGAAATATGCAAAGAACCCAGGACAGAAGGCACACCCAAGACAAATGCACAAAGGAACCTCACTAAAAGCTGAGCCAAAACTCTTGACATACCTATCTCACTTAATTCTTAAAAAATAATCCCAGAACAATATACATAATATTCATAGTAGATCCTCAGTAACTATTTGCCAATCAAAAGTAGGTGTTACCTTGGTACGGTAACAACAGGTCCAATTTTACCAATAATACAGCCGTAAACTCTTAATTTAGAACAGCCAGATGCCACTGACTGTTCTTAAACTACCTTACCTTATATGTAAGTGTGTAATAGACAGCATGTCAGAGCATTTACTTCTGCCAGCTTATTATAGTAAGCTAGACTTCCCAATGACAAGTCCACTAGCTTCAATTTCCTAACCCACAAAATGGAGACAAGAGTATCTTTTCTATTCAATCATTAGTACTTGAAGCCTATGTGCTAAGCACTGTTCTAAGATTATCAGTAATAAGGTGGGAAAGCAATACATGACAAACCACGTCTATCCTAAAATTTGAGTTGCCCCAGAAATTCCACCTGTGGAAGACTGAAGCTAGGGGAAACAGGAGCAGGGACTTGTCAGAGGCAAATGTGGGGAGCGCACCTTTGGCAGACTGCTTAGTTAAGGTACATCTCCTGCCTGCTTTGTTTTTGCTTTTGGAGACAGGGTCTTGTAGACCAGGCTGGTCTCGAACTCACAGAGATCCGCCTGCCTCTGTCTCCCAAGTGCTGGGATTAAAGGCGTGCGCCACCACCGCCCAGTTTCTTGCCTTTTAAATCTTACCCTCACATCAGGATCAAGACTATGGAATGAGACAGGACCGGGCCACTGGATCTCTCTCTCTCTCCAATGTGGCAATACTGAAGAAATCTTTTTTCTGCTTTTCACTATTAACTTGGCCTTTAAAACATTTATTAGTGGGTGATAGTGGCACATGCCTTTAATCCCAGCACTTGGGAGGCAGAAGCAGGAGGATCTCTGTGAGTTCCAGGCCAGCCTGGTCTACAGAGATAGTTGCAGGACAGGGTATAAAGCTACACAGAGAAACCCTGTCTCAGAGGAAAAAAATTTTTTTTGTTAGGTGGCAGCGACACACACCTTTAAGCCCAGCATCCAGGAGGCAGAGACAGATGAATCTCTTCGAGGCCAGCCTGGTCTAAAACTGAGTTCCAGATCACTCAGGCCTGTTATACAGAGAAACACTGTCTCAAGAGAAAGATTTTTTTTTTAATTTTGTGTGTGTGTTTACCCAGTGCCACAGCACACATGTGGAGGCAGAGGACAACTGACAGAAGCAGGTTTTCTCCTTCCAAACTCTTGAGTTCCTGGGTTCTAGCTTAATGTCAAGGGGCAATATTGAATGTATCAATTTGCAGATCCTAATTTGGCTCTTTTAACTGGAATGTTGAGGACGAGCGGCAGAAGTTGGCTTGTTAGGGCACAGCTTGTGATCCTAAATCTGATGATGCTGCTTTCTTGAAGTTGTGTAATTCACAGCTCAATGCAAAACACTGAACTCAATTTCACAGAATTCAGAAATCTCCCAACATCCAAACATTGCCCTCTAATAAAGTTTTTAAAAAATTAAGCCGGGGGTTGGTGGTGGTGCATGCCATTAATCCTAGCACTCTGGAGGCAGAGGAAGGCGAGCTCTGAGATCAAGGCCAGCTTGGTCTACCAGTTAGTTCCAGGTCAGTCAGAGCAACAGTGAAATCCTGTCTCAAAAAAACCAAAATAGGCAAAGAAAGTATAATCATTCGACTTCTAAGGACAACTAAAATGGCCTTATCACTGCAGTTTTACCCGTACTAATCCTGAGCAGGAATCTCGCATCTCAAGCCTTAGGAACCCCACTTTCAACAATTGTTACAAGAGAAGGGCATTCGGCTCTAAGCTAGACCCTTACAAAGTAGAAAGCGGACCATCAGACCTCTTCTGTGATTGGGTTGAAAGCCCACCATTTGGAGGAGTCCTGAGAAGGCCGGGACGCTCAAGTCACAAGAGGTAACTTACAGAAAGTCTCTCTCTGGACGCAGTCACTAATTGGTAAAGCGGATAACAGCGTCAGCTCCCGTTCCAGGGAAATGGACGCGAGTGTTAATCGGAGGCAGGGCACGTGGAAAGCCAAACTCTTAGGCGCCAGAGGACAGGCCACACCCACTTCTCCGCAGTGGGCTTCCTGCTCCCGCAAAGCAGGAAGTATTCCAGGACCTCGGTGGGGCAAGAAGGGTCTGTTCGCTGAGGACAGTGCCCGCCACTTAACAGGCTCTTGGTGCACGTGTAGGGAAAGAAATCAGTGAGACTGTGGAGAACGCCCGGCAGGCCGGGAGCCGCACTCACCACGCCGAAGTTGCCAGGTCTGTCCGCTCCCCTGCACTTCCCACTGCTTCCAGTTCAGATCCTCGGGGAGCTGCACGCAGGCCGAGCTAGTCTTCCCCGCGCACAGCCGGCCACACCACATAAGCCCGGCGCGCGCCGAGGGAGGACTGGAAAGTTTTCGCGCCACTAGCCGTAACCCCGCCCACAACCTGATTCCGATTGGCGGTCCCAACCACCTCGCCACGCCCACCAAGGGCTCATGAAGTACTTCCGCCATCTCTGACGCCAGCCGTGCGCAGTCCCGAGGAATTGTTCTGCGCCGCACTTTCCGGTTCCAAGCTGTTGGCTTTCTGCTGTTGGAAGCGCTTCCCCAGCCGCCGGATGTCTTTTTGAAACCTGGATGTGACGTATTGAAGAAGCCGACGGAAATAGAATTGAAAGCGTTCTAAAATGGCGAACCGTACGGTCAAGGATGCGCACAGCATCCATGGCACCAACCCTCAGTATCTGGTGGAGAAGATCATTCGGACGCGAATCTATGAATCAAAGTACTGGAAAGAAGAGTGCTTTGGACTTACGGGTGAGTGACCACGCGCGACCCGCGTCTCGGCTTGCGGCTGGTTTCTTTTGACTCAGTGAGGAACGATAGACCTTCGGGTGCTAGAACTGGAGAAGAGTATGTCAGCCCTTCACATAAACTGCTCTGTGCCTAGACTTGCACTAGACAGGACACAGACAAATTTGACAGGGTCTTTCTTGATGCTGAAGGGTTTCGTTAGGTTCTTTGAGACATTCCAGGCTGGCCTCGAACTCAGAGATCCACCTGCCGCTGCCTCTCGTTTAAAGGCGTGCGGCACCACCGCGCAGCATCTGGGGGTAATGACAGGCGCTTTTCTCCACGATTTGTTTGATAAAGGATTGTTCTCCTAATATTACTTTCTTGCTGACTATGTAGGAGCCCTAAACCTTTAACCGTTTTCACCTTCCAACCAAGAAAAGCTAAGATCTATATTATATCTAAGATGTCTCTATTTGTGTTTGGTTATTTCAGCTGAACTTGTAGTGGACAAAGCCATGGAGTTAAGGTTTGTGGGTGGTGTCTATGGTGGAAACATAAAGCCAACTCCTTTCCTCTGTTTAACCTTGAAGATGCTTCAAATTCAACCTGAGAAAGACATCATTGTTGAGTTCATAAAAAATGAAGATTTCAAGTGAGTACAATGTGGGCTAGTATAAAATTCTCAGTGGTTCAGAATTGGGCTTTGTTAGCTGCCTGAGTGTTGTGTGTGTCATTGCAGGCTTTTGCCCTTGAACTAGTATTTTGACTGTCGTGGTTCCGTACACCTTCTGCTTTCATCAGTCTTGGTAGCTTCCCCTTCCCCCAAAATCATTTCACAAATGACATAAATATACACAAATATATGTACATGTACACACACACACACACACACACTATCTCAAAAAAATGTTGGTAGACAATAGATGAGGGGGTCACACGACAGAGGATTTTCGTTAACGGGTTAGATCTGTGTCTTATCCAGACATTGGCACCTGTTGACTGAGACCTTTAATTTGTTAAGCTTACAGATGCATGGCAAAGAAAATTAGCTGCCCCATAGTATCCGTTATCTCAGCGTTTAGAGCCAGGAATAATAGCTGATCATGTACCATGATTTGTTTTAGGGGCTTTATAGAAAGTGATTCATTTTGTGTTCACACTATTGCTTTAAAAATATGATGACATTTTACATGGGAAGAAGCCAAGGCCCAGAGAGATGGTAAATGGTTTGCCTAAGGATGGGCAACAGTTAAGTGGCAGGTCTGGGGCTGAGGTACAGCTTGGTAGTAGAACAAATGCAGGGCTGTGGGTTTGTTCTTTAACTGAGATAGTGCCTCACGGTGTATCCTGACTGACCTTGTATTTATGGCAGTTCTCTGTCCTCTGCCTCCCGAGTGCTGGGTCGCAGGTACAACTCGTGTCAGAATGCATATTCTTTATATACTGCTCTTCCGTGATGAAGCTTGAATTTCAAATGGAGATTTGAGTAAGGATTCGGAACATGAGATAAGGAAAAAAAAATATAACTAGAAAAATAGCTTATGCTGTAAGGACTTAACATGCTCGTGTCCTAATATAGTTCCCTTACGTTTGTTTATGGCACCAAGGCAGTTAGTTAGCCTATAGCTTCTCCATTATAGAAGTTGAGAAAACAAGTTACATGTCTGCAATCAAAGTAATATACGAAATCAGAATTTTAACTTCTATAACTTTGACCTTTTTCCAGAACCTACATTTATAGCAATATATGCTTGTTTTAACATTGTTATAAAATGTATATAATACTTTGTGTTGCCGGGCGGTGGTGGCGCACGCCTTTAATCCCAGCACTCAGGTGGCAGAGGTAGGCGGATCTCTGTGAGTTCGAGACCAGCCTGGTCTACAAGAGCTAGTTCCAGGACAGGCTCCAAAACCACAGAGAAACCCTGTCTCGAAAAAGCAAAAAAAAAAAAAAAAAAAAACTTTGTGTTGCTAAATTTATTATCTTTTTGGAATCTTAGGCCAATTCTGTAATTCTGTGAAGTTTTACACATGATATATCTGAAAGTTGAGCAACATATACCAATCTCCACAGCTAGTAATTGATTAGGAAGTTCATTGGGTTTCCATATTTTAGCCATCATCTCTTCTATGCTACCTTCAAAATTATGGCTTTTTGTTTGTTTGTTTGTTTTGTTTTCGAGGCAGGGTTTCTCTGTGTAACAACCCTGGCTGTCCTGGAACTCACTCTGTAGACCAGGATGACCTCAGACTCATAGAGATCTGCCTGCCTATGCCTCTTGAGTACTGGGATTAAAGGTATGCGCCACCACCACCCAGAAATTATGGCTTTATTATCTGATAACAAGAAAAACAAACCAGAATACTTTTATCTAATATTGTCATGAGAAAAGTTAGTTATAGAACTCAGAAACTCTTAGGCTGGCCTGTTGTTTCAATGTCCTCTCTCTGTTAGGTATGTCCGGATGTTGGGGGCACTTTACATGAGGCTGACAGGAACTGCAATTGATTGCTACAAGTACTTGGAGCCTTTATACAATGACTATCGAAAAATCAAAAGCCAGAACCGAAATGGGGGTGAGTATGATACAAGTCTCTAGACTATTTTCCTCGGGCACTTGTATTCTGTGTCTCCACTCGTTTTCACAAACACCGAATGTTCCTCTTCATCTGCATCATTGCTGTCTCCGTCTCCCTCACTGGACACATGACTGCCTCCCTTTCCCGTCAGATTGACCTTCCACACCTACTCCATCCACAAGGTCTAGAAGCTTCAAATTGGTCTCTCTATAAAACCTGACTTAGCCTGCCCAAAGTCATTTTCCAAATACCACAGCTTCACTTTTTCCCCTGTAGGCTACTCGATGTTATACTTTGTAGACTAAATGGACCTGTGTTGTTCATGTAGGTACTCCACTGAAAATACTAAGCTTATCCAAGGACAGAGACATCTCTATATGTTTTATACATACACCCTGGTTTTGTTTTGTCTTGTCTTGAGGGCATGTGGCCCAAGTGGACCTTCAACACTGTGTAGCTAAGGAGGACTTCAAACTTCTGATTCTCTGGTCTCTGCCTCCTGAATATGGGAATTACAGGTGTGCGTGACCGTGCCTGTCTTTATTTGGCGGGGGGGTGGGGGGGGGTGGGGGCGTATTGGAGAACTGAACCTCATCATGCATGTGAGATCTGTGTTCTGCCACTGAGCTCCAGGCCTTGCCCTCAGAGATACACCTTCTATGTTAAGAAAGGGTTTGTGGTAATACAAACAGAACCTCTTAATTGGAGACACACCTTTCTTCTTAGGAATATAGAAGATTGAAATTTAATGTGAGTTGAATATTCCTTATTCAAAATGACTTAGAGCCAGAGTGTTGTAGGCTTCAGTGCATTTTAGATTTTGCAATAGTTGTATAAACTGTCAGAAACCTCAAATTCTTCAAAATCCAAAACGTAGTGAGTTTCATGCCCATGTTCAAAAAGTTTCAGACTTAAGAATCATTAAGGATTTAGTTGTTTTGTCTTAGGCCTTCTCAATCTGTATTGCACTTTAAACTTGTTTATCATATTTCTTCACTGAACTAATGTGTATTGAGAATTGATGTTATGCCAGGCACTGGAAGCAACATGGTGAACAGGTGGATATGACTGTGGTCATTTTTGAACGAATTCCTTATATTGTGGTAAACTAAGATGGGATTTTGGGATTCCTCAAAGCCTTGACATTTTAGGCTATGGTAGTCCTGCACATGACGATATGTAGGCAGCGTCCCTGTACCTTCCCTAATGGACACAACTAGACTTCCTTTCAGTAGGGTAATAGAGGTCTGCAACGTCACTTGTTGAGAACTATAAAACTAAGATAATAGCAGGAAGGATTCTAAAAAACGTGTCCTTTTTGTGCTGTGAAAAATGAAATATTCTTTGTTTTAATATTTTATTTCTTGTGTGTGTCTATGTTTGTGTTTGTAATAAGTTCATGTGCTATGGTGCATGTGTTGAAGTCAAAAGATAAATCTAAGAATTGGACCTATTTTTCCACTGTGGTTCCTGGGATCAAACTCAGATGATCAGGCTTGTGTGGCAAGTGCTTTTATCTGCTGGGCTACACCATGGACCCCTAAAATAGAAATATTATATATTCGGGGATATTGTAGGTTAATGGGAGAAATTACAACTAAGTGACTTATTAGTGTTAACTTTGGATATATAATCTTGACTTATCTATTCAGTGTTATCCTACATAATTCATAAAGCACTGTTTGTGCTTTAATGTTTGTGTCTCCAGTTCGTTTTGTTTTGTTTTGTGGTGTTTGATAGGAATTGAACCTAGAACTTCATATATACAAGGCAAGTTCCTTACCACTGAACTATACCCACAGCTGATCTTTTATTATTGGAACAGCCTTATTCATCTCTTAGTTCCTTGTTTCTAAAGAGGCTTGATTGGGCTGACATCTCCTGTCGAGTCTGACTTAAGCCTGGGACCCCGATGATTGAAGGAGAGAACGACTCAGTTTTCCTCTAACCTCCACACATGTACTGTGCAAGAGCATGCACACGCAGTAAATAAATAATAAACAATGAAAAATGTTTAAAGAGGTTGGGCATTTAGCTCAGTGGCAGAGCACTGGCTAGGTAAGCACAGGACCCCAGGTTCAGTCCCCGTCTCCAGGATAAGGAAATAAAGAGGTGTGGGCATGTAGGGTGCTTCATGGAAAGTTTCATGGTTCTTTGACGTTTTGGTTACCCAGGTCTATCATTTCCAGGTTGCTTGAACTGATTGTTTTGCCTTGCAGAGTTTGAACTGCTGCACGTGGATGAGTTCATCGATGAGCTTCTGCACAGTGAGAGGGTCTGTGACATCATTTTACCCCGGCTACAGGTATGAGACATGGGTCTGCTATGGAGTCACCTTTTACCTCCCATGCAAACACAAGTACATACTAAAAAACACTGAAGGGTTTTCTTAAAATGTCCTTCTATCACACTTTGTACCAGAGAGGGAATGAGGTAGAAGCAGGGAATGTTTCCGGGGTAGGATGTTGGAAGGGAATAGCTAGAGAAAACGTTTCTTCTTCCGAATATATTATCACAGGTCTTATAGGTGGAGTACCTTTTCTCACACTGATGAGCTTAGGCTATGAAACAGAAAAAAAGAATGTGAACATTCAATCCCTTAAACGTCTTGTTTATCATCCTGCCTCACATCCCGTGAGGACAATCCATGAAGCACCCTTCAGGGTTGGAGGTAGCCAGTGTTCTTGCTTTGTTTTGTTTTTCTGATAGTCTTGACCATATAGCAACAACTGGCCTGGAACTGACCATATAAACGTTGTTGTCATCTTGCTGTCTTCAGGTGCTGTGATTATAGGCTTGCACCACCATGTCTGGCTAAGACTTCATTTTTAGTTTTAGAGAGAAAAAGATATGGTGGGTAACCTTAGATGAAATGTGTTGTAGTGGAGAGTTGATTGGATAAGGATTTAACCTAAGTTCATGTATTATTATAGAACCCAATCTATAAAATGGGAAATTCCTGTTGAAAAGAAAAAAAGCAAGGGTGGGGAGCTTGACTCAATGGAAAATGTGCCAGGTGTGGTGGTGCGTTCTTTCAGTCCCAGCACTCAGGAGGCAGAGGCAGGCAATTCTCCTATGAGTTTAAAGCCAGCTTGATCTACGTAGAAAGTTCCAAGCTAGCCAGGGTTCATAGTGAGACAAGGAAGGAAGGAATCAAGAAATCATTCTGCTCATATTAGTCCTATATTATTTGTGTTTTAATAAGTAAAGCTTTCCTGAAGATCAGAGGGCAAAGCAGCCATACTTGTCAGCCATACAGGCCAGGGAGTGGTGACATACACCTTTAATCCTAGGACCGAGGAAACAGATCCAGATAGATCTCTGTTAGTTCAAGGCCAATCTGGGCTGTACAAGATTGAATTTGTCTAAAAGAGAAACAGCTCACACACGGGTGATCCCAGCACTACGGAGGTTGAGACCGGAGTGATATGGCTGAGTGAAGAAGAATATAAGGGAGAAGAGACAGGAACTCAGTGGGGTGTAGTCTTCAGGGTTTGTGGAGACAGGATCTCGCCCATTTTTGGTCTGAGGTAGAGATAAAAGCCCGTGGCTGACTGCTTTGCTTTTCTGATCTTCGGGTTGAACCCCAATATCTGTCTCTGGGTTTTTATTATTCATGCTTCAGCTTAGTGTCTTAACTAAAGGAAAGCTAAGTGACTGTCACCACCTGTTCCTCCCTTACATCTCGAAACTAGACCTACAGGACAATTTACAGGCGTGGAAGAGATTTGACTATCTTGATTGTAGTGAAAATTTCAAGTGTTTATTTTTATAATAAAACTTAAATTTTGCTGGGCAGTGGTGGTGCACGCCTTTAATCCTAGCATTTGGGAGGCAGAGGCAGGCGGATCTCCGTGAGTTTGAGGCCAACTCTGATTTACAAAGTGAGTTCCGGGACAGCCAGGACTGTTACACAGAGATACCCTCTCTTGAAAAAATTTTATACTTTAAATATACTTACTTTAAAAGTACAGTTTTCATTGTATGTCAGAAAGGCAAGTTGACTAGGATGGCGCATGTCTGTAATTACTAGTGTTCCAGTGGCTGAAGCAAGGAGATGTTGAGTTCAAGACAGCCAGTGACTACACAGGAAGTCTTACCTACAAAAAAAGAAAAAGGGGAAATCCTTAGGGCTGAGAAAATGGCTTAGTCGGTAAAACGTTTGCTGCACAAGTCTAACACCCTGAGTACAGATCCTCAGAACTCACACAGAGCGAGCATTTGCAGCAGTAATCCTAGCAGGCCACTAGGGAGATGGAAGACAGACAGAATAACTGCCAGGAGTTCACACAACAGCTAATTTGGCATACACGGCAGTGAAGAAGACCCTGCATTAAACAGAGTGGAAGGCAAACCATGACACACAGGTGTTCCTCTGCTTTGGCATACGTGCTCACATTCACAGATAAAATTTTTAAATATTGAAAGAAAAAAAGCCTACACTGAAAAGATTGTGGCACAGCCTTTAATCGCAGAACTTGGGAAGCAATCTCTAAATTTGGGGCCATCCTTGTGTTCTAGGACAACCAAGCCTTCATTGTGAAACCCTATCTCAAAAAACAGTGAAAACAAACAAACAAAAAATACCAAAAAACAAAACAAGTCTGTGCTAGGAAAATGGCTCAATGGTTAAGAGTGTTTGTTCTGTGAACATGAGGACTCAATTCAAATCCCCAGCACCAATGTAAAAAGCATGCTGCTAAGTGCCCACTGCCCAAGCTTGGCAGGCAGAGAACTTGCCAGATAGCATAGCCAAATGGCAAGCTTCCAGTTCAGGGAAAGACTGTCTCTGTGCAGCACGATGGCGAGCAACAAAAGGTGCCCACGGTCCTCTTCTGGCCTTCCACAGTAAGCATGGGCCCAGACAGTCATACATTTATGTACATGTATCACACAAATTAACTAATTTGTCTTTATAAAATTAAAACATTTGTTTTTCAATTAATTTTATTTTTACTAATTATTATTAGTAGAGTGCTCACCAAGGCAAGTAAGGGCTAGAGGACAATTTTTTTTTTTTAAAGATTCCATGCATCCCCACATTCCAGAAGAGGGCACCAGATCTCATTACAGATGGCTGTGAGCCACCATGTGTTTGCTGGGAATTGAACTCAGGACCTCTGGAAGAGCAGTCATTGTTCTTAACCTCTGAGCCATCTCTCCAGCCCATAGAGGACAATTTTTGAGATTCAGTTCTCACCTTCTACCAGAGAATGCAAGAAGAGGGCATTGGATGATCCTCTGGAGCTGGTAAGCCACCATGTAGACAGATACTGAGAACTGAACTCCGGTCCTCTCCAAGTGCAGCAAGTGGTTGTTCTTCATTGCTAAATTATCTCCAGCCCTGAGGTTAATGTGCGACTACACAGATACTGATTGACAGTCCAGTGACCTTATAAGACCACAGGAAATAGAACCAATTGAAAACGAGCTTGTTCTCGTCGGCATTGTTTATATTTGTAGTGGAACTTAAAAGAGCATATACGTGCCAGGGAAACTAGCTTCTGAGGGAAGTCTTGAGGTGCAATACGACTTACTATACCTGAGCTGTTGCTTCACAGCCTTTCTGTCAACCCCAGAAGCTCAGTGTTACCATCAGGACCTGGAGGAAGCAGCAGTGACTTAACTTTTACTGTGTTCCCTGTAGAAACGCTATGTACTGGAGGAAGCTGAGCAACTGGAGCCTCGAGTTAGTGCTCTAGAAGAGGACATGGATGACGTAGAGTCCAGTGAAGAGGAGGAAGAGGAAGATGAGAAGGTAAGGCATATGAAAGCTTTAAGAGCTAGGAAGGAAGGAAATAGCCCTTATTTTTCAAGCTTTAAATTAATGATAACCTTTTATTATTACTTTTTTTGTTTTGTTTGTTTTTCTAGACAGGGTTTCTCTATGTAGCTCTGGCTGTCCTGAAACTCACTCTGTAGACCAGGCTGGCCTCAAACTCAAGTTCACCTGCCTCTGCCTCCTGAGTGCTGGGATCAAAGGCATGTGCCACTACCACCACCCAGCCTCTTCAAATCCTTCATGAAATAATTATTTTGGGGAGAAGGAGGGCCCTATTGTGGGGATGAGGCTAGATAGCCATTTCAGATCTGCCTCAGGGATGCTAGGATCACAGCCCTGTGTGCAAAAAAGGAGAGTTTATCTTCTTATTATAATGCCCTTTAGAGTAAAATATCCCTTGGCTTGAATGCCTCAGCTCTGTCATAGCAGTGGTGTGAGCCTAACAATCATGATTCCCCCTGCCCCTACCCCCCATTGAGTGAGGGATTGAATCCAGTCTCTAAGGTAATAATAGTACTTTTCTCTGAACACTGCCATGTAAGGTCTCAGAGTATATTTCCACATAATTTCAAATGTATGGTAGCTATTACATTTAGGGGGAAAGGCTTGAACATACTCTAGAGGGAAGTTAGCTGCTGCAGAGCCATGTTGTCAGAACTATAATCACAGTGCTGAAAAGCTTGAAAACAAGCTCCCAGCTGTCAGTGACTGAGGAGTCAGATTGTTAACCTGATATCAGGCAGCCATTAATAATGTGAAATAGCTTATAGTAAAAGAGCTCTAAAGCATTTGTAATTAAATTCTAGGAAACGTGCCTAGAAAGGGCCAGAAGGGTGGGTAGTGGTGCACACCCTTAATCCCAGTACTTGAGAAGCAAAGGCAGGCAGATCTCAGTGAGTTTGAAGCCAGCCTGGTCTACCAAGTGAGTTCCAGGACAGCCAGTGCTGTTACATAGAGAAACCCTGTCTCAAAAAACCAAAAGAAAAAAAAAGGAGGGGGAGGCAGAAGAAAATAAAGGAAGTAGTAACCTTGATGCACACGGCAGCACCTGCCTTTCATTCCAGCTTTCCAGAGTTGCCTCCAAAACTAAAAAGTTAACCTCAGATTAGATTTTCTATTGGAGAAACAGTAATCTATTTTTCCTCAACTTGGAATTATCTATTCCTGTCCCTTGTGGTATTTTATTTTTTTAATCTTTTCCTCCCCTGCACTTCTATCTTTGGCACAATTCCAAGTTGTAAATGTCATTCATCTATGATCAGTTTCTTCTGCTGGCAAATGTGCACAAGTAGGACCCTGCCCCAACTGTATAGCTTCATAGTACATCTTGACCAACATCTTGATACTTAGAACAGCAGGTGTCTCTTCTGCTCTTCTTCAGTAACTGCTTTCCTATTTTTGCTCCATTCTTTGTTCTCTCTTTATCTTATTTCTATTTCTGTGTATGTGTCTGGGTATGTGCACATGAATGCAGGTGCCCTCAGAGACCAGAGGTGTTAGGTTCCCCTGCAAGGGAACTTATAGGTTACTGTGAGACACCCGACACTGGATATCCAGTTTACAGAAATAAGCCTTTTCCCCCTTTTTCAAGACTGAATGGATTCTCTGTGTAGCCCTTATTGTCCTAGAACTTGTTTTTTTTTTTTTTTTTTTTTTGTGGTTTTTCGAGACAGGGTTTCTCTGTGGCTTTGGAGCCTGTCCTGGAACTAGCTCTCTAGACCAGGCTGGTCTCGAACTCACAGAGATCCGCCCACCTCTGCCTCCCGAGTGCTGGGATTAAAGGCGTGCGCCACCATCGCCCGGCTAGAACTTGTTTTGTAGACCAGCTTGATCTTGAAATCAGAGATCCGCCTGCCTCTGTTTCCTGAGTGCTTTGGATTAAAGGCGCACACCACCACGGCTTGCGCTATTTTTTCCTACTGTACTCACATTCATAGGCTGATATTGGTTAATTCTTTTTTTAAGACAGGGTTTTTCTGTGTAGACCAGGCTGGCCTCAAACTCGGAGATCCGCCTGCCTCTGCTTCTCAAGTGCTGGGATTAAAGGTGTGCGCCGCCGCCACCTCGCCTGGTAATTCTTTTTGTCAGTAAAACTACCCCTTTATGTAGTCAAATCACGATTGTAGAGTCATTTAAAAGATGTCCATTAGAACAGATTAGGGAGGGAACCATAGCTGTGTTCTTGCGTGACTTCCTTTAGTAAAAGCCAATACTCATCCATCTTGTTTCAAGCTGGAAAGAGTACCATCACCTGATCACCGACGAAGAAGCTACCGAGACTTGGACAAGCCACGGCGCTCTCCTGCACTGCGCTACAGGAGGAGTCGGAGTCGGTCTCCCAGGAGGTAGGGCTGGAACACTACAGCCTAGGAATCTGACTTCCAGGGAAGGAAAAGTATTAGCCTATAGAGATGTTTGCCAGGGTATCTGTTTCCTTGTTCCTACTGAATCATCATCACCCATAAAGCCTCATTGGCAGAGGGAAAAGGCCATTTCTTTAATCTTCGCTTGTGGTCAGTGAATTAAGCTGGCCTTGGATATACAATTGAGTTATGTTTCTTTGCTCACCTGTTGTGATTATGTATTTCCCAGAGAGTAGAGTAACCTTAATAAGGATGGCTAGTACAGCTTCTCTGTGCCTCCCGTCCTCCAGTAGGTTAAGTTGGTTATGTTTTGAAGATGGTGACAGAATACAAGACTCAACAGGTCCTTCCTGCAAGTGTTTTTCTCGTATATGTATGTTTGTTATTATCCCCCTGGTAAAACTAAATTGCACGGCTAGAGTGTTAGAAGTTGACATGTACTACATTTAAGACATAGATACAAGAAAGAATCAAGTCAGGGGCCATTGTTCAGTCCCTGGCACTCTTCCCCTCTTTTAAAAAAACAAAACAAAACAGAACGAGTAATTTTATGTGTTTATTTTTGTTATTTACAAGATCCAGTGCACTAACCTGCTCTTCCTCTTCCCACAGGCGAAGTAGATCCCCCAAAAGGAGAAGGTAGGTCCTGAGTCATTTCTAACAAAAGGGTTCTGAGAAGGGACCGTGCTGAGCTGGCTGTTTTTTCCATAGCCCTTCTCCACGCCGAGAAAGACATAGGAGCAAGAGTCCACGACGCCATCGAAGCAGGTCCCGAGACAGACGACACAGATCCCGCTCTAAATCCCCAGGTATAGTATTTGGGCTCTTTCCTGCTTGTCTTAGTGTCTTAGTAAAGAAATCTAAAAGGAGCATTAAGATCCTTCAACACAAATATATAACGGCACTCCTACCTAACAGGAAAGGAGATGGGCATGGAATTCAGAAGTGAGAGTACTCATTAGACTCTAGTGAGGGGATTACAGTTGTTTGTTTTTATGCAAAATTGCAGAAATAAGACCTGGTATAATATCGGTCAAAGCCCGAGGTAACGTTTTGTGAAGTTAGCCATAATGCTGTGGATATATGATTTCACTACTGCATTCCCTGCCACAACTAACAACCAAAAGAGGTGTAATAGTGAGTGGTGTCCTCAGACTAGGCCAACAAAGCGTAGTGAGTGAAAGGAATTGGGGGAAGTGAGAATAATATCCTACAAGAAGGAAAACAAAAACTCTCATCCAATGACCTTTTCTTCCCTAGGTCACCACCGTAGTCACAGACATAGGAGTCACTCAAAGTCTCCTGAAAGGTACGGGTTAAACCTCTACTGTAAGAATTTAATTCTGGGCTGGGAAGGTGGCTCATTGGGTAAAGTGCTTCTCATGCAAGCATGAGAATTGGAATTCCACCCATAACACCTGTGTTAAAAGCGCCTGACATCTTACTGCTGGAGAGGCAGACAGACCCATTGAGTTTGCCAATCAGCCAGCTTCAAGTTCAGTGAGACTCTGTCTCAAAAAATAAAGTGGAGAATGAGTTAGGAAGACACTCGATGTTTACCTCTGGCTTCCACGTGTGCACACGCGCACATTTAAATCTTTATTCACTAGTTAAAGTTTTAAATATAACTGAGATGGGGAATTTTGTTTTGATGTGGGTATTGGTAGTTCATTACAAGGTAAAATAGGCTCCCCTCCTCCCCCACCAATTTCTTTTGCACCTTGTTTCCCTTCTTTTTTTTTTGGTTTTTCGAGACAGGGTTTCTCTGTGGTTTTGGAGCCTGTCCTGGAACTAGCTCTTATAGACCAGGCTGGTCTCGAACTCACAGAGATCCGCCTGCCTCTGCCTCCCAAGTGCTGGGATTAAAGGCGTGCGCCACCACCGCCCGGCCCTTGTTTCCCTTCTTGGAATTAAAAACTTTGAATGGTGGTCTCAGTGGTTCTGGGCTTTTTTATTTTTAATTGTGTATATGTGTTTATCTGCATACACATAAGATGCCAGTGGAGGCCAAAAGTATAGAATCCCCAGGAACTGCATATGTATTTTTTGTGAGCCACGCAATGTGGGTGCTGAGAACTGAACATAGGTCCTCTATACCGGTGCCTGCTTTTAACCACTGAGCCATCTCTAGCCTAAGAACTAACTTTTAAAACTTTAACAGTTGAGTCCTTGAACAAGTCATTTTTAATTCATCTTTATTAGTTCGCTGTGGGCCATGTACCCCATTAGGTACATTCTTACCCTATGAAGCAGTTGTTTGGTGGCAAATTCTAAATATCATCCTTGGCTCATAGTGCTGTTCAGAACCATTAAAAACAAAAACAAAAAATCTCCTGATAGGATCTCAATGGCTCAAAGGAAAAAGTGTTTGCTGTGCAATGGTGTCCAAATCCTCAGAAACCACTTAAAAAGCTAGGCGGGTGATTTCCACTGCCGTGAATCCCAGCACTCTGAATAGGATCCTCAGAACAAGCTGGTTGTCTAGACTAGCTTCATTTTGAGCTGTAGTTTCCATTGTGAGATCTGTCTTGTTTTCTTTTACTGGGATAGACAGCATGACCCAGAGCAATAGGTTTATTTCAAATTATTCTTCCAGGTAACAGTCTGTGATTGAGGGAAGTCAGGGAAGGGAGGGATTCAAGCAAGGAACCATGGTGGAAAGCTGCTTACTTCCTTGCGCTCTGGCTAGTTTTACACAGCCTAGCCCCAACTACCTTGTGATGGTGCTGTCCTCAGTGGACTAGGCCCTCCTACATCATTCAATGCAACTTCTCAGACATGGCCAAGGCCAGTCTAATGTAGAGAAATCCTCAATTGAGATTCCTTTTCCCAGCTGAGTGTGTCAAGTTGATACAATAAAAACTAAGCAGCACATCCTGCATCAAAAGAGCACTCGAGGAAGACTACACGTGTATGCACTCGGCGCATGTGCACATTTGCAGGCATGCAACACACACACACACACACACACACACACACATAAATAAATTTGTGCTGGGTAAGGTGATGAACACCTGTAATCCCAGCACCGGGGAGGCAAAAGTGGGAGGCCGTCAACAAAACATACAAAGTGCACCTAATGTTTGCATCATCTCTATTCATCAGTGTCGGCATACTATGAACGTCTGTCTTCCTTGTTTTAATGGTTTATTATCTCATTTCAGGTCTAAGAAAAGCCACAAGAAGAGCCGGAGAGGAAATGAGTAATGGATTCATTTTTAGTCCAGATGGCTTCCTGTGAATATGAGAATATCTGTTAAAGGGAAATGTTCAAGATCAGGCAGCTATGAGTATTGGGGTTTTTAAAAATCAAGTTCTTGTTTGTTTTGTTTTTATTTTAACATTATAGAGGTGCTAGGTTTTGTATCTCTTTGAATTATAATCAACATCTTTGAAGGATGTCTTTGACCAAATCAAGGTCAGGTTTTGACCTAACCAATTATGGTATTCACACTTACCAAGGTTAGAGGGGACCTGGGAGTTGGGGAGATTCAGGACAATGAAGAGATGTAGTTCACGGGTGACTTTTTTTTTTTTTGGTCTTTCGAGACAGGGTTTCTCTGTGGTTTTGGAGCCTGTCCTAGAACTAGCTCTTGTAGACCAGGCTGGTCTCGAACTCACAGAGATCCACCTGCCTCTGCCTCCCAAGGGTGACTCTTTTCTTATTTGTAATTAAACCTGACGCAGTTGTCATTTATCTCTAGTTTCTCTATGAAACCCTAGAATTTATGCTGCTGCGACCCAGCTAGTGAAGCACTTCACTGACTACAGACAGCAGCAGTAACAATAAACACAGTTACTAGTTAGCGGTTTTGTAAGAACAGAATACATTCAAACGTGAAGGTTTTTCTGTATTTTTTTTAATTCAGTTTCATTAAACAATTCAACATGATTGCAATTAACATCCTTTATACAAGCCAGGTATGGTGGTTCATACCTGTAATGTCAACACAGGCTGAAGCAGAATACTGTAGTTTTCACCTCGGTTGCTTTTAGAGGGTATAAAGTGAGAGGGTTGTGATGGTCATGAAAATGACACATTCTGTTTAAGACAGCTGCAGTATTTCTACACGGATAGAAAGAGGGACTAGTAGGGTTCAGCGTGATGATCTAGGCCAGAACTGACAATTGTCAAGGACGTTTAGATGCCCAGGGAGTATCAGTAGATTTAAGAACAGCAGGAGCACCACAGGCAATGCCAACACTTATGACTAGTAATACAGGTCACCTAGTAAATACTGGAATGAGCCATTCACAAAGGTAGAATTGGTAGGTCAAGGACACTGAAGGGTCTGAAGATATAGAAGCAAAATAAAAGCTTTACTAAGTCCATAGGCTTAATACTGATATTAGAGAGTATTATTGTATTAGCTAAAACAATTCCTTCTGCCTGTACTTACCTTCCTCCTTTAAGAGGGTAGAAATGACTGACTTCTTGTCACTATAAGCCTAGGAAGAACTGTAAAGACCAGCTGCCTTATAGGATCCAGCTTCTCAGGAAGTCATAGCTGGTCCTAGGATAAACATTTCTATTGTTTGCTGTTGATTGGGGAACTTCTGTAGCAATATTAAAGCAGTTTTTATCAATTTGCACTTTCATATTCTTTGCTGATTTCTCTAACCATGATACCTAAATTAATAAGGGAATTAATAAAGTTGTAAGACCTATTATAGCTTATAGCTACAACTATATTTTGTGGCTTTTAAAATTAAATATATCTTCACTCAGGTCTGGTAGAGATTCCTAGTTATTTCTTACTGAGGTGATATAGGTGGGAAAAGATGCCTCTGGCAAAATGATCCATGGGCCAACCAAGCACCATCAGTTTAAAAGTTTTAATATTAAGGTAAATTTAAGTAATAAACTTACAACAGAAAGACCCAACAATATTTTAAGAGAAACCTTTCCAAAAGTATACGTTAGATATGATAGAATCTGGATCCATGGGCAGCATGAAGCATACCATTCCTACTAAATTAGAACAAAGGAAATAAAAATAAGGGTGAGTAGGATATGTTGAATATTGAAGACCATTCTGACAGACAAAAGAATTAGAGATGACATTTGAAAGGTAGATTTGTCACCTGTTTTGCCTATTATTACATGAGGCCTTTGAATGGTAGCTTTGAAATTCTTAGGTTACAACATAGTCTTAGAAATATGTTTTACATCTCAGCTGTACACATGCATATATTCTTTGTGCTGAAACAGGCTTTAAGAAAAAATATGCAGGCCATGTGGTGGTGGCACACGCCTTTAATCCCAGAATTCAGGAGGCAGAAGCAGGCAGATCTCTAAATTCAAGGCCAGCCTGGTCTACACAGAATGAGTTCCAGGACCGCCAGAGCTACACAAAGAAACCCTTTCTCAGGAAAACAAAAACCAAACAAACAAACAAAAAAACCAAATAATGTAAAATGTATTCATATTAGTTTTACTAAGATTTAAAAAAAAAAATTCGTGTATGTGCATGTCTCTTAGTGCAGAGGTAATACATGTACAGGTGCTGATAGGGGCCAGAAAAAGGTGTTGGATCACTTGAAGCTGGCAATTTCATTTGTGAGTAACCTGACATGGGAGCTGGGGTCCAGACCCTACTACTCATGACTGAGCTCAAATGCTTTTAACCACGGAGCCATTGTTCCGGTTCCTATAGTTAAGATTTTTAAACCACTATGTGGATTTCACTTTCCACAATTTGAAATCCAGTTCCTTAAAAGCTTACATAGAACACAAGGACTTTAACATTAATAAATTAAGCAAGATGTGTTTTCTGAGGGAAAAGTGGCAGATTTGTATTAGAACAACCCAATGTAGTCTCATTAACCTCTTTCTGTTACTGCCCAGTAGTGTAATGAGTCTTAAACAAAGACCAGAGAATTGCACCCTGGGTCATATGAGGTTAAGTCACTCCACTCCTTGGCTCTTCACATGCAACCAGCATATACATATCCAATAATAAAGGTGAAGAAAAAAAGATTTTGTTCATTTCTTTTTATATTAAGCATACTGACTTCTAAGAGAAACATGAAGCTAGCAAAATGAAAGTTGCATCTTCTGTGTTGTTTTATATAACTGTCCTTAGTCTTGAGAGCAATTTTAAAATTTGGCTTTCTTGTATGGAGAAACAGTTGTCATTTCAATTTCCTAGCCGCCTTCTAAGTCTAGTGAATTAGTTTCCAGGAGATAAGCATGGGCTCCAAAGCTGTGTTTAAGACAGCACATAAGCACACTTTATAAAAGCGTTGTGCATATGCACTTATGATAATTCACTAGAATGATTGAAGTTCACCAGATAATAGAATTCTTAACTGACAGGTTTTACTGCTTTACATTTGTCTGTGCACACACAAGTAATATGTGATACCCTGTTTTCTTCATCAAGAAAGGCAAGTACTGTGGCTCTTTAGTCATCTTACTTAGCCCGAAACTTTAACACCTTTTCTTTCAGGAAACACATCACATTCTCATTTACAAGGAAAAGTGAGTTAGGAGCTTAATGTATTATCTGGGAATCATTTTTATGGAAGGCACTGCTTCCTGCAGAGACTCTGAGTTCACTTCCTAGCATCTAATCGAGTAGCTCACAACCACCTGTAACTGAGGTGATTAAACACCCTCTTTTAGACTCAGGGCACCTGTACTCCCAACATGAAAATTTTTAAAAAACATTCATCCTTTTACTCAACTAGAGTAAATCTACAAACAAACAGCATTATTTTCCCATTACTATGCATGCATTTTATTTACAGGAGAAAACAGCAAAATTGTCTACAGGGCCTCACTATAATAGCAGCCTTGGCTGGCCTGGAACTGGGTATATAGACAGGGCTGGCTATGACAGAGACCTACCTGCCCATGTCTTCCAAGTACTGGGTTTAAAGGTGTGTGCCACCACATGCAGCTAGTAGTGTGATTTTTAGTAATCTTATTTATTTTTGGTTTTTCAAGACAGAGTTTCACTGTGTAACAGTCCTGGCTGTCCTGAAACTTGCTTTGTACAGACTGTCCCCAAACTCAATGAGATCTGCCTGCTTTTGCCTCCCAAGTGCCGGGACTAAAGGCGGGCACCGCTACTGCCCATCCAATTTTTAGTTTTATTTTATTTATGTATTTATTTGGACAGGATTTCTTTGTGTAACAGCCCTAGCTGCCCTAGAACTAGCTCTTGTAGACCAGGCTGGCCTTGAACTCAGAGGTCTGTCTGCCTCTGCCTCCTGAGTGCTGGGATTAACTACTTGTGCCACTACCACCCGACCCATCCAAGTTTTTTTTTAAATTAATTTATTTATTTATTATGTATACAATATTCTGTGTGCATGCCTGCAGGCCAGAAGAGGGCACCAGACCTTATTACAGATGGTTGTGAGCCACCATGTGGTTGCTGGGAATTGAACTCAGGACCTTTGGAAGAGTAGGCAATGCTCTTAACCGCTGAGCCATCTCTCCAGCCCCCCCCCGCCCCGTCCAAGTTTTAATAATCTTAATGAGCCAAGGTAAAACCACCTTCATGTCAAATGGCATACGAATTCTATCAAAAAATATCATTTTAAGAGTGTGTATAGAACTGATCATTTTTTAAACGATTAACTGCTTTTTTCAGGCAAAACTGAGCTATTGTATAAATTATATTCTGTTTCTCAGTTTAGAACACAGTTTTGCAAACTGAAGGGCAGATATGCACAAAATTAGTGAATGGAACACTGTCAGAGTAGTAAAATCGGGGTTAATAATATGCTGCCTTCAGGAAAGGGGGCTGAGCTAACATGCTGCCGTGTTGGAATTTTTAAAAGGATTTCTTTGGTTTTTTGTTTTCGGTGAAAATCTTAAATATACACAAAAGCAGAAAGAACAGTGAAAAGAATATCATCCTTTTAATCTCTTGGTTAAATATTTCAATGCTTAAAATACTAATATTATCTAATTATTTTTATTATTTAAAGTCTTTTGTAGCTCAGCTGGCCTGGAGCTCTAGGTAGTAGAGGATGACCTTGAATTTCCTGCCAATTGTTTGAGAGGGGCTCACTATATAATCCTGACTAGCCAGGAATTTGCTATGTCTATCAGGCTGGCTTCAAACTCAAGATCTGCCTGCTTCTGCCTCTCAAGCACTAGGATTAAAGTTGTACACCATCAAGCCTGACAGGCCTTGAATTTCTTAATCCTCCTGCCTCCACCTAGAGAATGATGGGATTGCAGGATGCTCCAAGTTGTTTTTAACACAAAAGTACAGGGAGATCAGGTATATTATTAACAAAAGAGTTGACACCACTTTATGAGTCTAATGTAAAAAAAAAAAAAAAAAAAACCAAAAAAACAAAACCATTAAATATACCTGTCCTTAACTTGGGGCTGTAAATATGGCATGGATATCCTCAACCACCTGCAATTAAGGAATATTCCAAGTGTCTTTCAAGTGGAAAATACGGCAAAAGCCCAGTTTCCTATTTAAGTAATAACACGCCTGAGGAAGCAGAACAAAAATAACACACTATCCTTAAAATTAGACTTAGTTTTTGCAAACATCTGTAGTTTTATTTGGCAAATCTAATTTAGGGACTAGGGAAAAAAATAACTCACTGTAAAAGGAATAGTTAAAAAATATGAAACTGAATTTCAATATCCACACGTTTTATGAAAACATTTTGCTTGATGACTAACTTCATGGCCTATAATGATGGGGCTGAAAATTCGTACTGCAGGTGTTATAACTCAGAACTACCTATATACTACACACAGGTTTATAGTGGGCTGGTCTATCAAACCTATTGTACTGCCAGTTATAAAAAGGTACAGCACCCACACTTCTGTAAAGTTCATAAAGTGTATGTTTGTGTAGTTAAAAGCGTTTCTATTACTTTAAGGGTGTGATATATTTTGCTGGTAGCCGCCTCACACATCTCATGTTTGTGTGCCTGCTAATTGCAACAAGACACCAAATAAACTGATTGACAGGATCTAAGTTTAAGCAAACTCTGATGTTTGAACAATGATGACATCACCACATAATGTATTTCTGAGAATACATCCCAGCAGCTACAAGACTAATGACTGATCACCAGTATTGATAAAAAGTAACAATCCTGGCAAGTGTCTGTCCAGGACTCTGAATAGACAGGCAGGCAGGTACTATTTCTTCACCAAAAAAAATTTCCTCTCCTTTTAAAAGATTGGCGGCAGCAGGGGGGTTGTAGAGGTGGGGATGGGCTGGAGGAAAGGTATTGCTAGGGACTGAACCCAGTATCTTGCACAAAATAGGAAAGCTATCTGCAACTCATCTACTTCGAGTCAAACTGTAGCATGACATTGTTGCCTTTCTATTTCTCTTCACTGTTCTGCTCTGCAATTTTCATTTCGATGATAAAATGGACATGGCACCTGCTTTTATCACCTTCATATGGTAGTTGTAAAAATCCAATAAGATGAAAGAAAAGACCTTTAAATCTCTAAAACTAAATCTGATTTATAATAGTCACTGTAAAGTTAAATCTTTCCATTATTACAACATATTCCTATCATCTAAACCAGATGAATTAACCAAATTTGACTCTTGTCAAAAAGATTTATTAACTTAAAATAGAACTTC